ATTTCAACCAGTGATTTGCATTGTTCATCCTGTAACTGTGCTGATAAAATCCAATCATCTTCCGTAATGTTTACTTCAAGAATACTTATTATTTCAGGTAAAACTGCGTTTTCTTCTACCGGATTCCTGCTAAGGGCATCTACATGACTCATTTTCGTACCCGGTCGATATTCTACAATAAAATTAAACTCTTGGACGGCTAACCACCATCTTGCAATACGCGGAATTAAGTCTCGTTTAGACATAGCTGTGCGAAGTGCATTACAATCTGTAACCACTTTAAATTCGGCACCCAACAGGTAGACTCTGAACTTTTGTAGAGAACACACTACTGCTAGGGTTTCAAGTTCGTACGAATGGTATTTTTGCTCTTCTGGTGTAGTCTGCCTGCTAAAATACATAACCGGTTTTAAATTTTCGTCTTCTTGCCACTGTAGTAAAATTCCTCCAAGACCTCGACTTGAAGCATCTGTATGTAGTTCAGTCTTAAATTGGGGGTTAAAAATTGCAAGTGTAGGTCTACTTATTAAACTTTCTTTAATAAGCTGGAAAGCTTTTTGTTGTTCTTCAGTCCAAAGAAAATTAATATCCTTTTTGGTTAACATCGTCAATGGGCGTGCTATTTGGGCAAACCCTTTGATATATTTTCTAAAATAACTGGCAAGGCCCACAAATTGTCTGACCTCGTGTACATTTTTGGGTACTGGGAAATTTTCTACGGCTCTAATCTTTTCTTTACCTGGTCGTACTCCTTCAATGCTAAGTTCATGTCCCAAATAATCTAGCTCTGTTTTAAAGAAATGGCATTTACTTAGTTTAAATGTTGCACCATAAGATCGAAACGCATTAAATATTTTCTTTAAAGCTAATAGGCCTGTTTCAAAATCAGTACTAGGTATTAGAATGTCATCCAAGTACGCAAGCGCTGTAACATTTTCTATATTTCTAATAATGCGATTTACTGTTCTTTGAAACACTGCAGGAGCATTTACTAAACCAAACGGCATGCGCAGGTATTCGTATTGTCCGTCTGGGGTGACAAATGCGGTTTTGTCTCTGGAACTTTTCGCTACAGGAATTTGATGATATCCACTGGCCATGTCCAAGGTTGTAAAATATTTTTGATTAGATAACATTTCTAAGTGGTCATCAGTTCTAGTCATTGGGTAATTGTCTTTAAGGCACTTAGAATTAATTGCACGGTAATCGACGCACATTCGAATGTCCCCGCTTTTCTTTTTAACGAGCACTATAGGACTTGCATATGGCGAATGCGATTCTTGAATTATGCTATTATCTAATAAATCGTCAACAATTTCGCGCACGCACTGTCTTTCTTGAATGGAAAGGCGATAAGGTCTATACGTCACAGGTTTATCGTCTTTTAAATTAATTTCCATTTCCACTCCTTTAATACAACCTAATTCGGTTATATTTTGTGCAAAACAGTCTCGATATGTATTAAGTGTATTAAGCAAAATGTTTACATTATCTTTACCAATTTTATTATTTACTTGTTTTTCAATATCGTTTAAAGTAAATTTTAATAGCACTTGTTTATTTAAAGTATTTATTCTTACCTCGTTTTCGCTGCATCCTACGTCAGGAATACACGTAACTCCTCTCGTAACCAATTGTTCCGCGTCGAAACTCATCGGTTGTTCTGAGGCATTGTAGATAGGTAATACTCCCAAACTTGCTGAGGTGACACAACTGGGTATGATGTATTCGCCACCTGGCTTACTGGACTGTCGACGTTCAATAAATACATCCCCTTTGTAGTCGTCCATTGGTTTACAGGTGAGTAGCCCGATGTGATTTGGCGGTATCACTGCTGGTTTCTTGCAGACCAATTTTACAGATGTGGGGAGGTTGTCGAGTTCTGGCAACAGCGCCATTTCTGAATTAAAAATTCTCAACTCTCCGTTCCTCATAACTAACGTTGCACCCGTTTTTCTTAAGAAAGTCTGCCCTATCAAAACGGACATATTTTGCATTTGTTGGGGCACAATTATTACGTCCACTTGAGTTGAAAATAAATCCACTCGTAACTCAACCGTAATTTCGCCTAAGGCCTTAGTTCGACCACCCCCATAGCCATTAATTACAATACCGCATGGTTGCCATTTCAAACCAAGTTTTCTCGCTTCGTTTTCCCGTATGGTGACAATTTCGCATCCTGTGTCGATAAATCCATCCAGTGACAGGTTATTTATGTAACACACGACTCCTAAACTTTGAGAATCAGACCGTTTGTCCAGGGTCGTATCGCAAACAAACACTTTTTTTGAAGTACTTGGTTTGTTTTTGTAACATTCAGTTACTACATGTCCAAGTCTTTTACATAAAGTACATTCTTTTCTAGGTTTAGGACAATTGCGTTGAAAATGTCCAAAATCGTTACAATTATAACACTTGTTTGGCCTAGATTTCGGCTTTTCGTGGGCCCTTTTGTCTACCAGGTCATGTTTCGATGAAAAATGTGAGGGCCTTTTATCTGGTTTGAACACTTTTTCGTCAGGTAAAGCGGACAAATACTCTCGGTACAAGTCCTCAGGGGTGCTGTAGCGGCCTGCTTTTGCTCCTGCTTGAATGGCAGGGTCGTGAATGCCATCGATGAGCATAGCAACAGCATTCTTTCCCGCTATATCACATTGGCGTAGTAACTGCATTTTCTCGAAATAATATTCTGTCCATTTTTCGTTACTGGACTTGTGTCTAGCTATAGCTAGGTAGTATATTACCGACTTAAGTGTGGATGGAAAATCTTGCTGATCAGGAAATGCATTAATTAAAAGATTTTTCCATTCAACCCAGGTGTAATCATAATAAATTATGATACCACGTCTGTGCTAAACCTTTCAGCCTGGTCTGCATGTGATAAATTTGTGTAGCTTCGTTCCAACGATTGACCGATGCTAATTGTTCTATTTTGCCCAACCACTTAGCACAACTTATATTGGGCTTACCTGGGATAAATTCCGGTATGCAGTCAGCTCTTATAGTGACATGTGCCGTGCGATCCTTTTCCAAAAGTTTCATGACCATATTTTCAAGGGCTTTAATACGTTCCTTGTCAACTGATTCTACAGCGGAACTACTGCTTTGCGTATCGTCTACGACTGCAGCCTGAACCTGAGTAGCAATAGGTTGAGGTGAAACTACGGAACTACTGTTTTGCGTAACGTCTACGTCTACAGCCTGAACCGGCGTGGAACAACTTTGCGGAGCATTAGATTTTCGCGTAACATCTATAACTACGCTTTGCACCTGTGGAGTATGTCGCCCTCGACGGGTCGCCCTCCTGCTTCTACGTCTATAGCGACCAGCATCGTTATTATCACTGCCTGACCGTGCGGAACCACTACTTGAAGTACTCGTCGTACTAGGACTACGACGACTATGCCTGCGTTTTCCCATTGTTTTCAAAATGCACACACTAAGTACAAAGCACTAAACTAATCGTAATCCAAAAACTTGCAGCACTTAAACAAATGCACATAGACACAATACAAACTAATGTTTTCGTTAATTAGGCACTTATAAACGAATATCACAATCTCCTACGAAAAACCGTGAGCACTATCCCACCGCTGCTCTGTGAGAAAGAATAATAATACTCTTTCCGTTTAAATTAAAGTCTATTTACTATTAAAAATATAAAGAGATTAATATAATTATAACAAATTAATAGAGAATGTGTGTCGAGTAAAGGGTGAACTCTGACTGCCTTTTCAGAATGTTCCTCGTCGTGCCTGTGCCTCTCAGGGAAGATAGATAAATTCCTAAAAGCCACCTGCATAAACAAACAAATGTCTAGCCTGGCGCTTAACGGGATCGACTCCCACGATCGCTCTTGAGTCGTCTCAAATTTCGTTACACATGATTACAGCAATAGAAAATTTTATGATAACTTGATAAAAGACCAGAAGACCATAGCACCTGACAGTCCTGATAACACGGTCGATAACAGCAGTGGATGCGAAGACTGAGTGTGGCAGTAATACAGTTTTTAGTTTTTTCATTTATTTTGTTACTCAAAGTTAATATTTAGTTTGTAGTGTTTGTAGTAAGGACAATTGTTCGTTTTTTTCTTCTAAAAACCTCACATGTTCACGTATTTTTTGTGTTTTTTTCATATTCGGTTAAACAAAAAAACATGAGGAATTCTGGACAAAGTATTTTAAATTTTTTTACATGTAATAAATAGGTCAATAAAGTACTTTGGTCAAAAATGGGAATGTCAGAGAGTTTTTTCATTTATCCAAATAGGTTAATTTTGGACTAATGATGTTTTTTCGAGAAACGCGTCAATTAAAATTCCTGGAAAATATATTGAATGAATGATGAACTTGCTCCGATGCTTGCTCTTAGAAAAAACCAAGGGCTCTTTGCGTTTCTTCAATAAATTGAGGAACATTATAAATGAGAGCATGGATCTTTGGTGTACACTGTACATGTAATTCCAGCTTTTGATGATTGAAGTTTAAATTCTTTTATGCAGTCTTTATATTCATCTGCTAAGTTTTGTCCAAAGCAGCCAGAAACTACTTGATTGAACGCCTCAAATACGGGTATATATTCATGGTCTAAAATAGGAATTATAAATCAGTAGGTATACTGGATGTTTTCTATAGAAAACATCCAAACAAAGCAAAGCTCATTACCTAATGACAAAGTTTTCAATATAGCAATCGACTAATACTTTAAAAAGGTTTTGGCGATGTAGCAGTGCATAACAAAGACGTTTTTAATAGGTAGTCTTTAACATCTTAAAGACGTCTTAACGACGTTTAGCAACGACTTAATAATGACATCTTAAAGACGATGTGTTTTGTAACATTAGATATCTTAAAGACGTCTTAAAGATGACTTACGTCGTAAACTGGACGTCTTAGAGATGTCATAAACGTCCGAGTTTTTTTCCTAACCTAAAAACGATTATAATTATAACATACAACATGTTTTGTTAGTGTTTTATAGACTAACATTTGTTTCAGGAAAAATCTTATTAATCAGGAGGCAAAATACCAAAGTCAATTAAATGATTTATCAAAACAGCTGGCTCTTCGAGATGCCGAAGCCAACAAATTACGATTCCAGATGGACGAGCTCCAACGGGATGTTTTTGCTAAATCGGCAGGGATTGATCGTAAGTGTTGTAGTGTAGTGTATACGCTAAAGAAGTATCGGGTTTTCGCAACATTGCGTGAATTTAAGAATTGTCAACAATATATTTAAAGCACAGATTATAAATCATTTTTAAACAAATAAGCGGTGAGTTACTTAATCAATGATATAAGGAATAATCAATCGAAATCGAGTACTAAACCAGTTTTTTAGTTTTTTCCTTGCAACGTAAAACACAAATAACGTGCGCGATTTAGCTGTGCAATTGAACAAAATTTGTCGAGTAAGAGTTCTGCCTTTCTCTCTTTTGTGAAAAAACTACCTATTTATTTAAAAATTATGTCCAGTTCGTATGCTTTAAATTTATTGTTGACAATTCTTAAATTCACGCAATGCTATCGAACTCCACCAGATGGCGCGCGCGTTGTGAAAACCCGATACTTTAGCGTATCGGCAAATTTATAAAATAAATACTTTGTTGTGTACAGATCACTCTATTTATACAATTGGATATCTCAGTATAAGTTTACATAATAGTGAACTTGAACGGGCTGCCAAAAGTATTGAATTCAAATTTTGCCAAGACATTGAATGAAAAAGACATTCGAACATAAGTGAGAATATCAAATTTACAGTCAAATTAAGTTTGCCAATAAACTGTAAAGATGTTATAAATACCTACTGATGATTTATAAATCAAACAGGATACTGTACAATTTTTAAATGTTATTCTAGATTTTTTTAATATACCGTTACATAAAGCACCCTGATAGCAAAATTTGATTCTAAGAATCTTCTAAGAAGATATGACCCGGAATAATGGAATATTCTTAGAACCTTCCCTTATTGCTAAGAATGTTCTTAGGGACTTTTAAAACATTCAATAGATACCCTTTTAATGATGCAATTAGATTCTTAGAAGCTTTTTAAAACCTTCCTAAAAAGCATTCTAAGAACATTTTAAGAATACGTTTTTGGAATGTTCTTAGAAGGTTTCTTATGGAGCTTCTAGGAAGCTTTTGAGAATATTTCCAAATATGTCAGATACCAACGTTCTAATATGTTGGATTCTACTTTCGTAAAATTCTTCAGGAGGCGACAAATACGCCTCACTGTCATAATATGACAGTAAAATGTATTTGTCGTCCCTTTAAAAAATTTTGCGGCATATTAATATATATTTATTTAAAAATATTAAATAAACAATTTGACCTCTAAACCATAAGTTGTATGACATTATTTCATAAAAAGTAAAATTGGAAAATTTTGTGGGATAAGTCAGATTAGATTGAAGTTGAAGATAGTTGGGATTATTATACATAAAAATGTTAATTCAGAAATAAAAAATCGGTATACAAATTAATAAATATTTATTTTTAACATAAAATAAAATATAAAAAAACAAAATATTTCCTTATAAAATAATTCTTCATAAAAGAAAAAACCAAATAGTTCTTCATAAAAAAAACATTTTTCATTGTATTTAAGTTGGATAGAAGGTTTTATGTAAAAGCCGGATAATTTAGATACCTAGTAAAAGTATTTTTGTTATCGAATATTGTTTTAATTTGACAAATAACTATAAAAAAATATTTTGGGTTGTGTTTTTTACTTAGTATTTAATACTAAGTATAGGTACCTTTATACGTAGATTATGGTATATTTTACTATTATATAGGTACTTACCTAACTGAACTGAATATGCTTAACAGGAATATTCCTAAATGAACTTTCTATAGCAATTACTTTCTCAACATTCTAAGCATATGTTTAGAGTGGATTAATTTTTACCACTAAACTTTGCACCTTCTAAGAACCTGCCTATAGGCCTTGGGATTATGCTATATTTCTTTTAAGCATGTTCTTTGGAAGAAATATAGCATAATCCTAAGAATATTCTCACTTGAAGGTTTAAAAAACATTCTTAGAACATAACTAGAGGAAATATAGCAAGATCCTAAGAATATTCCCACTGGAAGGTTTAAAAAACATTCTTAGAATAATATTCTAAATGAAACATTTAATTTCAAATAGGTCTGGAAGCAGAACTGCAAGCTGCACACAAAGAAACAGAATTGATAAGGCAACGAATAAGACATTTGGAAAATGATCTGGATAACTACAGGAGAAGAAACAAGGACCTGGAAGACGACATAATCGAAAAAGAAGAAAACTTTACGGAATACGAAAGCAACGCAAAATCGAAAATCGAACAACTGGAAACCTTGGTGAACGAACTGCAGGAAAAAATAAAATCCCTCGAGTACCAGCTGAAAATATTGTCCGAAGAAAAGCGCAAACTGGACCAAAGGCATGCGGAGCTGCTGGTGGAGCGGGAAAACGAGAAAAGAAAAGTGTCGGAGACGCTGGAACAAGCCAAGCTGCAGAAGCTCGAGATCGAGAAGAAATGGAAGACGGACTTCGAGCAACTAAGGACAGTAAACATCTTGAAAGAGCAGCAACTCTTGGACGACTTCGAGTGGAAGTTGAGGGAGGTGCAACAAACTTGCAAGAAAAGGTTGGAAGATAAGGATAAGGTTATTGAAGAGAGGTTGCTTGAGGCGTACAAGGATGCCGAGAAAAAAATGAAGCAAGCCGAGGAGCTCATGGCACAGGTAACAAATCATATTTTTCATCGAATTTTTTTAATACCTCACGGTGCTGTTCTGAGAGGTGATTTTTGGACTTTCTGTGAAACCTAACTTTTTTTATATTCTTGTTAATTAGGTCATAACTAAAATTTTAAGAGCAAAATAAAAAAAATTTGACGGTTAATTTTGTTTTAATTGGATGTTTATTAAAAATATGTATGCACACTTTCAATTCTCCAATTAAAACTAGCGATTTAATTTAAATATTTAATATTTGCATAACTAAAAAAAAGGTTTTTTCAATTTTTTTTATATATTTTACTGTTTATAAACAAAAATGAAAAATTGTAGTAAAAGTTACGAAGAAATTCATGAAATTTAACTAAGGACCGGTTTATTCATCTTTAGTAAAGTTTATCGGGCCGATAACTTTCATGTCTTGGCAATATCTAGTATCCAAAGAAATTATTCGTCAAATAAATCAAAAATGAATAAATCGGCCCTAAATAAAATGTGGCACCTTTAGAATTATTGTTTAATAAATGTATACTATACATTTAACCTTAAATTAAAACTTTAAACGTGTATTACAACAAAACAGTAAAAGATATAAAAAATGTATAGACCTTTTTTTAGGAAATTAACTAATCTTTAATCTGATTTAAAAAGTTATGATAATATTTAAATAAAAACGCAAGTTTTAATTGGAGAATTGAAAGTGTGCATACATATATTTTAATAAACATCCAATTAAAACAAAATTAACCGTCAAATTTTTTTTATTTTGCTCTTAAAATTTTAGTTATGACCCAATTAACAAGAATTTAAAAAAAATTAGGTTTCACAGAAAGTCCAAAAAACACCTCTCAGAACAGCACCGTGAATAAACTGCCCGTCATAAAAATCGACGCTCCTAGTTTTTTGGAAAATATTTGAAAGCTCGTTATTGGAAAATTACTGAATCGATTTTGAAAATCTTTGGAAATTCTGAATAGCTGATTCTTTGACTTTTATGTCTAATTTTGAGAATACCATATTTTGCGCATAGCATTATACTACAGGGTGTTAAACGAAGAGATGTATTTTTCCGAAATTTCCAGTTATTCCCATTCATGAGGCAGTTGAGTTTGATAGTCGTAATACCCCTCCCTAATATTAGTAAGGTTTTCAAGATTTTGTGAATATCGCGGCTTACTACGATATTATAAGCCAATTTATCAAAAATTGTCGTTATTTCCCAGTTTAGTCCAAAAAATTAACAATAGTGGATTCTTTGACCTACGTCTAATTTTGAGAATACGATATTGTGCACATAGCAATATACTTACAGGGTGTTGAAAAAAGAGATGTTTTTTTTCCAAAATTCCAAATCCCCATTCACAGGGCAACTACGATTATATACCAATTTTTCGAAAATTGTCGTTATTCCCCAGTTGTCCAAAAAATGAGCAATAGTGGATTCTTTAAATTACGTCTAATTTTGGGAATAGCATATGCTATGTAATAATACTATACTACAGGGTGTTAAAAAAAGAGATGTTTTTTCCAAAATTCCAAATCACCATTCATCGGGCAGTTGAGCTTGATAGTTATAATACCCCTTCCTAATAATTATTAGGAAGGGGTATTATACCTGTTATAACAGGTAATCCCTCGGGACATTTTCGAGATTATATGGCAGTTTTTCGAAAATTCAAGTTATTCTTCACTTAACTCCCAAAAATGAGTAGTTATAACTACAAAAGGTATCAACACAGCGTTTTAAGGTAGGTCACGTGCTTCCAGTTTATGTACGTTGCGTGATTTATTAAAAGTATAATGTTTCACACAAAACTAATTTTTTTCGGTTAAATTCAAAATAAAAACGCAAACAAAACAAAATTATTCTCGTAAACTTATGCAGGCTATATTCATGCAATTTTCTACAAACCGTTGACTATGAAAGTTTAAAACATTTGGCGCATATCTGGTTTTGAGTCCTTCCTTCAATTATTCTTGTCATTTTTGTCGTCGAATATGAAAACATTTTTTAAACAGCAAAACACATTTAAAAAAATAAAATGACGGATGTAAGATTGCATACCACGCAAGACGAAGAGCTGCCTGCCCTCTTTTTCTGCTAGAAGAAGATGGGCACAAGAAAATGCAAATTGGGGAAACGATGTGTTGATAACTAATCGATACCTTTCGTAGTTTGCTTATTTTTGGGAATTAAGTGGAGAATAACGACAATTTTCGAGAAATTGCTATATAATCGTAGTTAGCCAAGATATCCACAAAATCTCGAAAACATCCCGAGGGATAACCTAACTGTTATTAGAAAGGGGTATTACGACTATCAAGCTCAACTGCTCTGTGAATGGGGATTTGGAATTTTGGAAAAAAACATCTCTTTTTTTAACACCTTGTAGTATCTTGCTATGTGCACAATATCGTATTTCCAAAATTAGACATAAGAGTCAAAGAATCAACTATTGCTAATTTTTTGGACTAAAATGAAGAATAACATGAATTTTCGAAAAATTGCCATAAAATCGTAGTTAGCCAAGATATCCACAAAATCTCGAAAATGTCTCGAGGGATAACCTTACTGTTATTAGGAAGGGGTATTACGACTATCAAGCTCAACTGCCCTGTGAATGGGGATTTGAAATTTTGAAAAAAAACATCCCTTTTTTTAACACCCTGTAGTATAATGCTATGTGCACAATATCGTATTCTCAAAATTAGACGGAAGTCAAAGAATCCACTATTACTCATTTTTTGGACTCTCAACTGCCTCATGAATGGGAATAACTTGAAATTTCGGAAAAAATACATCTCTTCGTTTAACGCTATGTGCAAAATATCGTATTCCCAAAATTAGACATAAGAGTCAAAGAATCAGCTATTGAGAATTTACAAAGATTTTTAAAATCGATTCAGTAATTTTTCAATAACGAGCTTTCAAATATTTTCCAAAAAACTAGGTGCGTCGATTTTTATGACGAGCAGTTTAGTATTAATATGAAAATTATTTTATGCTTAGAAAAAAACTATATACGACATGATTGTGTTTTTATTCATTTTATTGATAAATTATAAGCTGTGTTAAATATTTTTCCTAAAGGAATAATAATAATAATAATTATTTGTTCGAAGATTGTGTACTTTTTGTTCAACCAGATTTAAATATTGCTGTACTAACAATATCAGTGGAGATGTACCAACAGACCTCATTACCAAATTATTAAAGTTTAGCAATTCTATCATTTTTTCAACATAACCTCTGAAATGTTTAATACAAATATAGGTACTTTATAATACATAAATATACTTTACATCATATCCTACGTGCTTTACATACCAAGTTGTTACGATAAATAAAAATCAGACAAAGGAACTGTTTTCAACAAAATCATATGCAGAAATGAGAATATTGAAAATACTTGCATCCATAAAAAGATCAAAACTTCTTGCAATATTGAATTACACCCTCTTTTTATGCTCTCAGAAATATTGACTCGAACAGTATTAGAGAGACTCCAGTTTCTATAACTTGGTAGAGTAAAGAGAAGTCGAAACCGTTGCGATATTTCATTGCGCTGTTTTTTTATAATTCTCGGTTCGAGTTTCTACCTCTCTGTTGAATATAGAAAATCAAAATAATGTATCTTGTAAGACACCATTGAGTTTGACTTTAACTATAGTCGTGCATAGGTATAAGAACTAAGCAGGATTCAATACAGTTCTGATAAAACTTTAAGATATAGTATTCAAACGGGGAGTCATCCTATACACTTCATATTTAACCTTTCTAAATCTGTTTAAAATATCTTGAAACTGCGTCCTAAATTTGTCTTGAAACTAAATCGATATTTTAGATGGAAAACGTGAAAACCTACGAAATCCAAATAGAAGAACTGAAAGACCTGACGCAAGACCAGGAAAGAAACTTGAAGGAGATGCGCGAGCAGCACGACCAGATGAAAGAAACCGAGGACGGCCTGAGAAACGAAACCAAAAAGCTTCGAAACATGATAGAACTGGAAAAGGAGAATCTTCAGCACATGCAACGGATACACCACCAGGAGATACTCGACAAGGAGAGGACGTTGAAGCAAACTCTGAACTCGAAGAGGATCGAGATAGCTGTTTACTGGGAGGAGAGACTGCTGAGGGAGTGCGGAAGACTGAAAAACGAACTGGAGCAAATTCACGATGAGGAGAAGTTCCTCGCCATGGAGACGGCCAGGAAGGAAAAGGACGAGGAGATGGCTAACAATAAGAAGGAATGGGACAGGAAGTTGAGAGACTGCTTGAAAGAAGTAAGTATTTTACTCTTCTGTTGTATATTGTATTCCTTCCCTATTGTAAATGACCGATAGAATCCAATAAAAAATAAGTAATTGGTTTGAATTCGTTTGAAATGTGTTTTTGCGCTATGAATCACCAATTCATTCCTATAACCCTGATAGCAAAATTTGATTCTAAGAATCTTCTAAGAAGATATGACCCGGAATAATGGAATATTCTTAGAACCTTCCATTATTGCTAAGAATGTTCTTAGGAACTTTTAAAACATTCAATAGATACCCTTTTAATGATGCAATTGGATTCTTAAAACCTTCCTAAAAAGCATTCTAAGAACATTTTAAGAATACGTTTTTGGAATGTTCTTAGAAGGTTTCTTATGGAGCTTCTAGGAAGCTTTTGAGAATATTTCCAAATATGTCAGATACCCACGTTCTAATATGTTGAATTTTACATTCGTAAAATTCTTCAGGAGGCGACAAATACGCCTCACTGTCATAATATGACAGTGAAATGTATTTGTTGTCCCCTTAAAAAATTTTGCGATATATTAATATATATTTATTTAAAAATATTAAATAAACAATTTGACCTCTAAACCATAAGTTGTATGACATTATTTCATAAAAAGTAAAATTGTAAAATTTTGTGGGATAAGTCATATTAGATTGAAGTTGAAGATAGTTAGGATTATTATACATAAAAATAAAAATAAAATATTAAATAACAAAATATTTCCATATAAAATAATTCTTCATAAAAGAAAAAACCAAATATTTCTTCATAAAAAAAACCTTTTTCATTGTATTTAAGTTGGATAGAAGATTTTATGTAAAAGCCGGATAATTTAGATACCTATAGTAAAAGTATTTTTGTTATCGAATACCTATTGTTTTAATTTGACAAATAACTATAAAAAAATATTTTGGGTTATGTTTTTTACTTAGTATTTAATACTAAGTATAGGTACCTTTATACGTAGATTATGGTATATTTTACTATTATATAGGTACCTAACTGAACTGAATATGCTTAACAGAATGTTCCAGGAATATTCCTAAATGAACTTTCTATAGCAATTACTTTCTCAACATTCTAAGCATTTGTTTAGAGTGGATTAATTTTTACCACTAAACTTTGCACCTTCTAAGAACCTGCCTAGAGGCCAGTAAGAATATTCTTAGAATTATGCTATATTTCTTCTAAGCATGTTCTTTTCAAGAAATATAGCATGATCCTAAAAATATTCTCACTGGAAGATTTAAAAAACCTTCTTAGAACATGACTAGAAGAAATATAGCATGATCCCAAGAACTTAAGTTCCAATGAAGTCAGCGGCTTAAATTGGAATATACCAATCCTGTATTGGCTAAATCCAATGAGTCATTCCAAATAAAAACACCAAATGGGGTGCGCTGCTTGATTTTTTATTTTGATAGAAATCTGAAATCATGTCAATTTCTTACTCTCTTATAGTGGGCCAGAACTTTTTTTCTGTGACAAGTATTGAAATGATTTTAATTTTGTTTTACTGTTCAGTAAGTGTGTTTTCGATATAAATTATTATTATCCAATTAGTTAATCTCATAAAAGAATGGTAAACCACTAAAGATTCATGATAATTTGCCAATTTTTGTGATTTTTGTCTGGCTCCTGTGCCTATTCTGCTAAATCTAGAAAGTTGTTTTTTTCAGGTATCAACTACTTATATATATTGTATACAATAGAAAACGTAACTATTATTTTAAGTTTCTAGACTATCATTTTCTTTATTAAAAAATTTTTTGAAACTTTATAATTCTTAAAATTAGTCAATTTTGCCCTCAGAAATCATTATGTTGAGGAAAAAATAAAAATCTGAAAATTTCAGGAAATGTAGTCCCCACCTTCAACTTTTCAGTCCAGTTAGACTTGCTTTGTTATTTTATTCCTTTAAAACATATATTAATTTTTTTAATGCCCGTTTAGTAGCGATATTGTTAGTTTTATTTATAATTTAAAATTTAGATGGCTTTCATGTTTGGTGGAGAAGTGTCAGAACTGTCAAAAATATTTCATAAATATTATTTGTGCGTATTTCTTTGGTAAATTTTGTATATAACATAATATGTAATATTATGTTATATACAAAACTTTTTAAAATCACCAAAGGAATACCACAAATAATAATTATTATATTTTTGACAGTTTTGATATATTTGGTAGTTATGTTATATTCGAGGTTATATTTTATGTATTGTATAATCATATATATATATTTATCATATATATATGATTATATATTATATACATTATAATGAAGTATTTAATTGGCTAATTGGTGATTAAAGAAGAAGAATGTAAAAAATATATTCAAGATCCTTATGGTTTATATCGTAAAGTATAATAAGTGAAATTAATAAAGAGTTAATTTAAACGAATAAAAATGCGTTAAGCAGTTTTTTGTCGGTTTCTTTCACAATTTAAACCAAGTAAGTCTTGTTTTTAACAATTTAAAACCTCTCAGAACTTGAATATTTTTAATGAGAAAGAGGTACAAAATTATGATATGTTCTTGCATTTTTAATTGCAATTAAATTCATGAATCTCGAACACTCCGTCATTTATTACACTTGCAAACTTTTTGAAATCACAATTTAAATACGCACAAATAATATTTATGAAATATTTTTGACAGTTCTGACATTTCTCTACCAAACATGAATTGACAAAGTCAAAGCCATCTAAATTTTAAATTATAAATAAAACTAACAATATCGCTTCTTAACTGCATTAAAAAAATTATTATATCTTTAACATGGATAAAAATAACAAAACAAGACTAACTAGACTGAAAAGATGAAGGTGGGGACTACATTTCCTGAAAGTTTCAGATTTTTATTTTTTCCTCAACATAATTTTTTTAATAAAGAAAATGATAGTCTAGAAACTTAAAATAATAGTTACGTTTTCTATTGTATAAGTACTTGATACCTGAAAAAATCAACTTTCTAGATTTCTAGGTTTCTAAGGGTGCCGATTAAAAATAAAGCAACTAAAAATTAAAACGGCAACGGTTTTTCATATATGATACCTAAAAAATCATCCTCAAATTTTTTCCTTAAAATAAAAAATCATGCAGCGCACTTTTAAATTCATTTTTTGTGTTTTCATTTGGATTGACTCCAATAGAAATGCACCTGGAATGAATTGGTAATTCACAGCGCCAAACCCATTCAAATCAATTTGAACCAATTTATTTTTTTAAATTTGGAAATAAAAATACCAGTTGATTTTTCATTCAAAAATAATTAATATCCCAGAAGAATAACCGGGTAAAAACCAGAATTCATTTTTCACAGAAAAAACAAAAAAATTATTATAACTGAGTAACTTTATTTCTTTATTTTTTTGTGTTAGTGAGATATATATTGATACATATAACTTACTAACACAAAAAAAGTAATAAAAAATAAATAAAATTACTCGGTTATAATCATTTTTTTGTCTTTCTTGCAAAGGATGTTTGTAGGCATGGTCTAAATCAATATTATTTATGTCAAATTTCTTTAATTGTGTCCGCTGTAACTACCATTCTCACGCCATCGTCCCTAAATTTTACACATAAAAACATTTTTTTAAGGTATAAGTACACACCACTATAAGTACACAACTACCACTAAGCACAGAAACCCATAGATTATAAAAGAAACCGACTAATAAAAAAACGACATTAAATAGCGTCCAGACTTGTTTGTTTCTGTATGATGGCGTCTCAACCATTCGAACAAGGACTGCTTACGTTGTTTTTATTTTAAAGTATTGGGAATAATCAATTAGCAGATTCCTTTTTAGAATCTCACACTGGGAATGCCCAATTGAATTTAATTGGAAATTACCTATGGGTAGCTTTAACCAATTGAAACTACTAAAAAACAGTGGAATCCTAATTGGAATTTTCCATATTTTAATGTATTGGGAATAACCAATTAGCAGATTCCTTTCTAGAATCTTACACTGGGAATGCCCAATTGAATTCAATTGGAAATTAACTATTGGTAGCTTTAACCAATCGAAACCACTAAAAACAGTAGAATCCTAATCGGACTTTTCCATCATGGAAAATACCAGTAAAAAACAATTTATATTTTATCTCAATTAAACCCAGTAAGTCCAATTCAGACCTATTGATACCAACCAATACTTCAATTGGTTTCTATAAGGAATTAATCGGTCATTTACAACTGTTGTTTCTTCTGTAGATAAATCTTTTAAAGAGATCTCTGACAGAAAAAGATAGTTACTACCAAGAAGAAATCGTAAGATCGCAAACATCCACAGATAGAGATATAATGGAACTGAGACGTCTCATGGATAAAATTGATATGATGCATCACGAAAAGTATGAAAAATTGGTAAACGAACATGATGAAGAAATAGGTAAGCAAATAACTATTTCTTCTTTTTGTTTAAACTTGTCGCACGGTGTCTAACAAAATAATATTTTTAGAACGTATAAACGAAGAACACGTAAAGAAAATTCACGAGGTGGAACTGTACTGGCAAAATCAGTTAGCAGCTTTAAGATCGACATTAGAATCGGCCAAAGAGCAAATGGAACAAGAATCTGAACAAAAAATAGACAGCATAATTCACCAACATAGAACTGATTTAGGTAAAATAATGTCCTTTCCAAAATAACGTTATAACCTTAATAACGTTATAATAACGTTATAATAACGTTACTGTACTCTACAAAAAAGTCCTTAACATAACATCGCTTAAGTGCATACTTTACAAGATATGAGCAGTTTAAAATTTAAAAGTTTGAAAAATTTGTGTTTCCCTGAGATTAATTTGTCTTAAATTCGATTCAATGACTATTAAATATCTTGTAAACTGTGTACTTTAGAGATATAAATATAACAACTTTTTTGTAGAGAATTAAATTTTCTACAATTTTTACCTTGCTGATACCATCAAGGTGAATCGAGTTCTTATTCTTATAAGCTCTTTTAAAAAGCGTTAATTTTAATGTAAATAACAATATAGCTTAAAATATATATAAATTTTAAAAAAAGTTATTGAAAATACACCAATAAATGGGAAAAATTTCAAATAAAAAAGGAAGTACTTAGAATCAAAATTAAGGGCTCAAACTTTAAGGAATTTTTTTTTGATGTTTTGAACAATATTTTGGAGTTTCGGTTAATATTAAAGGGCGACATTTTATTTTAGGGATCTGTAAGTCATATCTATATAACCTATTTCGTAAATCATAATTATATAAATTTATACACTTTAACCGGTTAATTAGTTTAAGTTGACTTAAGAGTTAAAAAGGGAAAAATAAACAAACAACTAGCAAATATTAACTTCTTTTTAACCAAGAAGTTAAATTTAACTAACATAACGTTAATTCTGACATAATTGAATTCCCCACTACAAAATAACGTTAATTAAGGTTAATTTAACATTGTAGTTAAATTAATCACTCATTATAAATAAATATCAAATGCATGCTTTTAGATTCTCAATGGGAAAACTTAATCCACCAAAAAGACGAGTCGATTCGTCTGATGGAAGAGGAATACGTATCGAAATACAAAACTTTGGAAGAACAATGTCAAATTCAGCAAAAATCTCACTCATCAAGGGAAATAGAACTGCTGAAAACCATTGACAGTTTAAAGAACGAATTGCAAAGTAAAAGTTTGACGATCGACGATTTGCAGAATAACGTTGAAACGTTGGAGGGAGGAGTGCAAGTACTCAACAACGAGATCGCCCAGCAAGGGGACCAATCGTCTAGGTCCAGAAAAGAGTCTGAGGCCAAAATAAGGTAAACAAAATATAAATACATCACGTGCAAAATAATCGATCCACACAAATTTTCGATGAATTTCAATCGCAAATAACTTTTTTATTTGATGTCGGATTTAAACGAATATTAAAGAATATTGTAGATAAATTAATGGACAATCGCACACATTTTAAAAAATTACTTAAAAATAGAGGTACGTTTATCATATACAGATTTAAACAAAAAGATGTTTTTTACCATAAGTTTAAGACACTTTGTAGAGTGGCAAAACCGTATATTGTTCTAAATTAAGTTTTATTTATCAAATCACATCTATTCTTAACAGTTTTGTTTTTGATTCACCTCGATATATTTATTTTTATATTTATTTTTGTGGAAAATATGGATTAAAAAAAAAACATTGCAATTTCCAATATTTTTCTGCATGAAGAACTAAGGTTGCTATGGTCCATCCATAGGCTATGGAGAATGACAGTGACAGTTTTGTTGAATCATCCCATACTTGGACATGTCATACACGGCTTTCAAAAGCTATCAAATTGTTTTTTGCAAATTAATGTTTAAATTTTGAGGTGTCTTCTTACTTTATAAAATGGATATGTCTCCGACTGATGTTGCTAGAGCTATTAATTTAATCCGGGATGGACGGTCACAGTATTACGTTGCAAGTGTTTTAAACGTCATAAGAAGTAAAGTACAAAGGGCAACATCAGTCGGAGACATTTTTAAAAGTAAGAAGACACCTCAAAATTAACACATTAATTTACAAAAAACAATTTGATAGCTTTTGAAAGCTGTATATGACATGTCCAAGTATGGGATGATTCAACAAAACTGTCACTGTCATTCTCCATAGGCTATGGATGGACCATAGCAACCTTAGTTCTTCATACAGGAAAAATATTGGAAATTGCAATGTTTTTTTAAAAAATCCATATTTTCCACAAAAATAAATATGTGAACAATATACGGTTTTACCTTTCTACAGAGTGTCTTAAATTTATGGTAAAAAACATCTTTTTGTTTAAACCTTTATATTATAAACGTACGTCTAGTTTTTAGTATTTTTTAAAATGTGAGCGATTGTCCATTAATTTATTTACAATATTCTTTAATATTCGTTTAAATCCGACATCAAATAAAAAAGATATTTGCGATTGAAATTCATCGAAAATTTGTGTGGATCGATTATTTTGCACGTGAGTACATAATACACTGGAAAAACAGTGTATATATCTGCAAAACTATGTTATCGTCTCTTGTCAGTTAACCTTTTTAGTTAGTATTGAAGGCAGTTTTATGGCACACCGCACTATAGTGCTGTTAAAAATATTACATGAATATTCTTGGCATTAAGTAACCTATATTAAATTATGTAATTTTACTAATCATGTCATATTACAAATTTTATTATTTGTGTATTTCCCATATTTTACATGCAGCTTTATATAAAATATTGTAAATTTACCCTAAAGTAGTAGTATTTTTACTTAATTAAATGTAATATTTTTTAAAATTACTTTAATAGTAGGTATGCTATTTTACATTCTTGTTTATGTAATATATTTTAAAATTTTAAACTATTTTACTTATTATTTAATTTCTTACTTACATAATAATGTAATATATTCAGGTTTTTACATGCATACTTACCAGAATTTGATTTTTTACTGTAATGATATTTTAATTAAAATTAGGTAAAAAAAAACAAATAAAATATTCTTAAAAAACATTCTTAAAAAATAGTACAAATAAATTTACCATAAAGAGTATTTCCTTTTTAAAACATATACGTTAAAGAAGTATCGCTAGGAGCGCCACCACTCGGTTGTTATCATCGTAACAAAAGTAGAACTTTTAATAATCAGCTGTCAAACGCTTATGATACAAACGAGTGTTTTTGAGAATAAAGCCGGAAAATGTTAAAAAATATCGAAAAAAAGGTGGCTTGATTTGTTGTCTTGTTGGGTGTATTTCGAGAGGAAATCCTGGGTTAAGTTTTTACCGGTTTTCCAATAAACAGTGTTAATCCGAATGAAGGAATAAATTTCATACAGTCTCTGTAAATATAAATTGTACCTATTAGATACAATAAATACACATTTTAGTAGTGATTAACGTGAAAACTGTAAACATTTCAATTCAGGAAAAATCGTCAAACAAATAAGTCGTCTAAATTTAAACATCATTTAGCATTATTAAAGGCGTTGATTAAGAAAGCCTCCAGTCAACGGTAAAATACCACTATATTATGTATTATATATAATATTATGTTGCCATGAATTCGTAGGTATATTTCGTGGTTTAAAATGCGTTTTTTAGAGAACTCAAACATAAAAATGGTTGATTTTAAGGTTATGTTTGTGCAAAAATTATTTTTTACTAATTTCTTAAAAATGTCCAAACTTAAATATGAATTATATTAGGTAAAGTTATCATTAGTTAATTCTACACCAACAAATGTACTTACCGAATTGGATCCTTTGGCAAAACATGAAAATGCAACGATTTAGTTCTTGAATTTTATTTACAATTAAAACACAATAATTCACCATGATCCCTTAGATAAGATACACTAACGTAACTATATAAGCATTTAAGCGTTGAGTTTCTTAATCATTGATATAAAGAATAATCAATCGAAATCGAGTACTAAACCAGTTTTTTTAGTTTTTTCCTTGCAACGTAAAACACAAAAAACGTGCGCGATTTAGCTGTGCAATTGAACAAAATTTGTCGAGTAAGACTTCTGCCCTCCTCTCTTTTGTGAAAAAACGACCTATTTATTTAAAAATGATGTATAGTGCTTTAAATGTATTGATGAAAATTCCTAAATTCACGCAATGCTTTTGAAGTCCACTAGGTGGCGCGCGCGTTGCGAAAACCTGATACTTCTTTAGCGTATAAGTTTTAAAAAGGAAATACTGTTTGTGGTAAATGTATTTTTATCAAGTAAGGTTATTTTAGAAAAATAAAAATAAAATGTTTTGTTTTAAATTTGTAAAGAGTCATTTAAATGATAGTCAAAAAATTTTTAATAAAAAAATTACCACTTTTAAATTTAAAACTTATATTTAATTTTTTTCACAAAGTATTTTTAATTTGGAAGAACTGTTAACTGTAGTTCTTAAAGCAACTTGTGCTATTTGGGATGCGTCTAGAATAAGTTCATCATGACACATAAAAATCATTGTAATTTACATTGTTAAATATCTAATATCTATTAACAATTGTTTTAGTGTAAACTAATGTAACTTTCTCTTCCTATGTAGCTGTACTAAAGACCTATCGTCGGATATGTCCTACTTAGTACTAGTCTATCCTTGTCTCTCATGTATTTTTTCCACCTCTCTGTTTCAAACCATAGCATTTTTTGTCATTTCTCTGTTTTTACTCTGCAAACAGTCGCTTTAAATCCAAAAAACACGATCACTTCGCTCTTAGTATTAAGCTTTTGATGTTGTGCATTTACTCCTCACGCCTCGTGTGTTCCTAATATCGGTTCCTTTCCTTTGAACGCAGAGGTCTTCAAGAAACGGTGGCCAAGCTTATGGAACAGCAGGAAAAAGAACGGGAGCAGTACAGGATGAAGTTCTTCGGCAATCACAAGCAAAACCAGGAGACCATCGATCATCTGCAGAGGAAGTGTCAATGCCTAACTAAACTGTAAGTGAAATCCAGATTTGTTGTTTTCCCTTTTTCCCAGAGAGTCAGATCACCCAGCAAACGGAAAAATATAGAACTGTATAGGACGACTCCCTGTTTGAATACTAAATCTTAAAGTTTTATCAGAACTGTATACCTACGCACGACTATAGTTAAAGTCAAACTCAATGGTGTCTTACAAGATACATTATTTTGATTTTCTATATTCAACAGAGAGGTAGAAACTCGACCCTGTCGAATGGTGCAGGCATTTATGTCTCTAGAAATTATTGAAAAAGGGGGCAGTCCAATGGTGCAGCAACTTCGGATTCTTATTCTCTTCAAAGACATAGAAACTCAAGCTTTTCGAATTTTACTGGCAATGATTTTCGTTAATGTCCCCGAGAATTATAAAAAACAGCGCAATGCAATATCGCAACGGTTTCGACTTCTCTTTACTCTACCAAGTTATAGAAACTGGAGTCTCTCTAATACTGTTTTAGTCAATATTTCTGAGAGCATAAAAAGAGGGTTTAATTCAATATTGCAAGAAGTTTTGATCTTTTGATGGATGCAAGTATTTTGAATATTCTCATTTCTGCATATGATTTTGTTGAAAACAATTCCTTTCTTTGGTTCCTTTGTCTGATTTTTATTTGCCGTAACAACTCAGGTATGTAAAGCACAGAGGATATGATGTAAATTATATTTATGTATTATAAAGTACAGTTGTATTCAATAAAAAAGCGTACAAGAATTAGAATGAGAGAAAACTGTCAAAATAATATTATTGCTTAAAACCGGCTTATCACTGACATAAGTCATTAAAATAATTATTATAGGTTATAAAGAGCATTGACGTCGTAGGTTAATTAAATAATATACAAAAATTATTACCTTTTAATAATGAAAAAAACAAACATTAAAAAAATAATAATATTTAGTCATGCATCCCTGTTTTTCTATTACTTGAGCCAATCTATTTGGGATGAACTAAATTAAATTTAATAGAATATTTGGATTAATATCTTCCCAGCAGTATAGTAGGTATAGTATAGTTGTCTAGTTTCCCATAAATCCTTAGATATCTTAAAAAAGCAGCATCCTGTTCAGGAGTGGACATTTTGGGACAACCTGAACCAACTTTTTGGTTTAGTAAATCTTCCTGTTCCCAGCGTTGCTAAATTTTTAATATAGATTTTTTATTTCTATTATACCACAGTACGAATTGACCATTCTTCTTCGATTCTTGATAGTATTTGAGCCTTTTTAACTGACGAGGCATTTTTATTTTCTACTGTCAGTTATAGTGACTTATGTCAGTGGAAAGCCGGTTTTACGCAATAATGTTGACAGTTTTCTCTCATTCTAATTCTTGTACGCTTTTTTAATGAATACAACTGTACCTATATTTGTATTAAACATTTCAGAGGTTATGTTAAAAAATGATAGATTTGCTATTAACTTTAATAATTTAGTAATGAGGTCTGTTGGTAGACCCTGCACTGGTATATGTTAGTACAGCAATATTTAAATCTGGTTGATCAAAAAGTACACACCAGTGCAGGTTATTGTAGCATCTACGAACAAATGAATTAATGGCCCATTGGCAATTATTCCTTTAGGAAAAATATTCAACACAGCTTAATTAATTAATGAAATGAAAAAAATCACAATCATGTCGTATATAGTTTTTTTCATTTAATTTCAAGCATAAAATAAATTTCATATTAATACTAGTTCAAAAGTGAAATTACGACCTCTATACTGTGGAGAGTATTGAAACGCTCGACTGACGAATACAACTCTATACCGTGGCGTCATCCAATACACATCTATATTTTTCTGTTTGATGTGTAGATAGAATCCAATAAAAAATAAGTAATTGGTTTGAAATGTGTTTTGGCGCTATGAATCACCAATTCATTTCAGTTGCATTTCTATTGGTAAGTTCCAATGAAGTCAGCGGCTTAAATTGGAAAATACCAATCCATGCCTATGCTTGTCTCTATTGGCTAAATCCAATAGAAATGCACCTGGAATGAATTGGTAATTCATAGCGCCAAACCCATTAAACCAATTTGAACCAATTTATTTTTTTAAATTTGGATTAAAAATACCAGTTGATTTTTCATTCAAAAATAATTAAGATCCCAGAAGAATAACTGGATAAAAACCAGAATTCATTTTTCACAGAATAAACAAAAAAATTATTATAACTGAGTAACTCTATTTCTTTACTATTTTTTGTGTTAGTGAGATATGTATTTATACACACAAAACACAACACAAAAAAGTTATAAAATATAAATAAAATTACTCGGTTATAATCATTTTTTTGTCTTTCTTGCAAAGGATGTTTGTAGGCATGGTCAAAATCGATATTATTTATGTCAATTTTTTTTTATTTTGTCCGCTGTAACCACCATTATCACACCATCGTCCCTAAACCTTACACATATAAACATTTTTTTAAGGTATAAGTACACAGCCACCACTAAGCACAGAACCCTATAGATTATAAAAAAACGACATTAAATAGCGTCCAAAGACTTGTTTGTTTCTTTATGATGGCGTCTCAACCATTCGAACAAGGACTGCTTACGTTGGTTTTGCGCAGCTACACGAGAGCCCTCTTGCGATATTTTAAAGCATTGGGAATAATCAATTAGCAGATTCCTTTTTAGAATCTCACACTGGGAATGCCCAATTGAATTCAATTGGAAATTACCTATTGGTAGCTTTAACCAATCGAAACCACTAAAAAACAGTATAAACCTAATTGGACTTTTCCATATTTTAAAGTATTGGGAATAACCAATTAGCAGATTTCTTTCTAGAATCTTAAACTGGGAATGCCCAATTGAATTCAATTGGAAATTATCTATGGATAGCTTTAACCAATCGAAACCACTAAAAAACAGTACACAGCAAACGGAAAATTATAGAAGTTTATAGGATGACGCCACGTTTGAATATTGTTTAAATCTCCCCACGGTATTGATTTGTATTCGTCAGTCGAGCGTTTCAATACTCTCCACAGTATAGAGGTCGTAATTTCACTTTTGAACTAGTATTAATATAAAAATAATTTTATGCTTAAAAAAACTATATACGACATGATTGTGATTTTTTTCATTTTATTAATTAATTAAGCTGTGTTGAATATTTTTCCTAAAGGAATAATTGCCAATGGGCCATTAATTCATTTGTTCGTAGATGCTACAATAACCTGCACTGGTGTGTACTTTTTCATAAACCAGATTTAAATATTGCTGTACTAACATATACCAGTGGAGATAGTGCAGGGTTTACCAACAGACCTCATTACTAAATTATTAAAGTTTAATACTTAGCATATCGATCATTTTTTCAACATAACCTCTGAAATTTTTAATACAAATATATAGTCACGGCCAAATCTATATGGGTGCACGTCATCAATGAGATATAATGACGTCAGCATTACCAACTTTGAATTGTAAAGTTACTGCCGTTAAATTTGCTTTTTTAAGGCGTAATTCTGATGTGTTATTAAAAAGAAATCATTCATTTGCGTATTGTTTACCAAGAACTGTAACAATTTCCTTGTTTTAAAACGTTTTTTCACGAAATTATCAAAATAAAACCATTCACTTAGTAATTTTTGTGTGTGCCAGTTGGTAATAGCTTAAGGCTGGCGCGCACCGTTCAATATTATTGATGGGTCGCTGTCATTTTATATTTGACGTATTTTTGTAATTGTGACATTTCGTCCGGAAGCATCGTTTGTTGCAAATTATTATAAATAATATTATACATTATGTTTATAAGATTCAATCCCTGGATTGTGCAAACAATGATATAAGGCTTGTTGGCAACTAGCCGTTATTAGATTTCGAAGACATTGCGCCCTTAATAATAAATTTGGGGAAATAATCAGACTTCAATTCTGACCTGGTTTGCTCTGACGACTGGTAATTTATTATTTTTGTGTTTCTGATAATTTAGTATTTTTTTGTTATGTGCATATGTAATAAAAATGTAATAAAAATGTTTTCTCTTTAAACACATTAAATAAAAATTTGCCTGTAACAAACTCCTAGTGCAGAAGATTATAACAAGGATGTTATAATTCCATCTTAATAACAGCCCCCACCGCTATAAACAGTCAACAATACACGAGCGTTAGATTGTGTTTGGGCACGTATGAATAGACCTTAACGCTGACGTCATATGCCGTTGATGACGTGCACCCATACAGATTTGGCCGCGACTATAGGTACTTTATATAATACATAAAGTATATTTAAGTATATTAAAGTTGACATTATAATGACAATTATAATAAAAATTCTTTGACGTAAACGTCTTTAAAAACAATAATATATTAAAAATAATAATATATTAATCGTGCATAAAGTTTTGTATGCATTGCTGGCATAACTGGTTTTTATGGTCCTACGACGCTTTTCTAGCCCTCGCGCTAACGCGCTCGGGCTCGAAATAGCGCCTCGGACCATAAAAACCTTATTATGCCCTTAATACATAAATAACTATAACATCATACCCTCTGTGCTTTACATACCTGAGTTGTTACGGTAAATAAAAATTAGGCAAAGGAACAGGGGCGGCTAGTGCATAAGTGCTGCAGAGCTGCAGAACTCCCAAAATTTTCTTATTACTTGACTAATTTTTTAATTATTTAATATTTAAGTGCGACAGTGTATGAATATTTCAAACGCATGGCTGCATAAAAAGTTTTTATTATAAACATTCGCCGTACTTGGCCACTACAGTCATCCAAACGACCCGTAAAGGTCTCTAACGCTTAACGCTTACAATACAACAAAGCTGGGCCACTTTCGAGTTCTGGCTCCCATTTCAATACCGTAATTTTGCTCCGCGCCGCTCTTGGCCCTAGGTTAAGATAGTGAAATTTAAGCCAAACCGGAGCTGCACCAACATACAGTTCCTACTTCCCGGTCGTTTGTTTTTCACTTCGCGTTCACGTTTGTTATTTTAACTAGAAGACTGTTAAATTCGTTGTATTTTTGTGTTTGTTGTTGTATTCTTTTGTAAGAATGAATGTGGTGTATGATTTAATTATGATTTAATTAATTAACTGTAGGTACCATTTAATTAAATGCCCACTGCGCCACATTTTTTTAAACCCCACTGGCAGAACTCACAAATTTTACTGCCACGAGCCGCCACTGCAAAGGAACCAAAGAAGGGAACTATTTTCAACAAAATCATATGCAGAAATGAGAAAATTCAAAGTACTTGCATCCATCAAAATATCAAAACTTCTTGAAATATTACACCCTCTTTTTATACTCTCAGAAATATTGACTAGAACAGTATTAGTGAGACTCCAGTTTCTATAACTTGGTAGAGTAAAGAGAAGTCGAAACCGTTGCGATATTGTATTGCGCTGTTTTTGTATAATTCTCGGGGATATTAAGGAAAATCATTGCCAGTAAAATTCGAAAAGCTTGAGTGTCTATGTCTCTGAAGAGAATAGGAATCCGAAGTTGCTGCACCATTGGACTGAACCCTTTTTTAATAATTTCTAGAGATATAAATGACTGCACCATTCGACAGGGTCGAGTTTCTACCTCTCTGTTGAATATAGAAAATCAAAACAATGTATCTTGTAAGACACCATTGAGTTTGACTTTAAATATAGTCGTGCATAGGTATAGAGCCGAAAAATATAAAAACAAAGCACGATTCAATACAGTTATGATAAAACTTTAAGATTTAATATTCAAACGCGGAATCATCCTATACAGTTCTATATTTTTCCGTTTGCTGTGTCTATAGAATCCTAATCGGACTTTTCCATCATGATACCAACCAATACTTCAATTGGTTTCTATAAGGAATTAATCGGTCATTTACAACAGATCTCTGGTCACCTCAATTCAAATGAACTCATCTGTTTATAAGAAACTAAAGCGAACTGTTTTACAGATTCGAAGAAGTAAGGCAAAGATATGAACGCAGAGAATCCCGCCTTGAAGATCTGAACAAAATCTCCGACCTAAAGCAAGTAATCGCGGAGCAAGAAAAGGACCTAGCGTGCATAAACGAAGAAAAGCGATACTTCCAGATGAGACTGATGTCGTTGGAAAAGCAACTGGAAGAGAACGCCTCCTTCGACTCCGAATACGACGACCCGGAGGTGGTGAAGGAACTGGAAAGCCGCTACCAGGTCCAGGAGCCTTCCAGTCCCGAAGACGTGACCCAAAATGGTTGTACTGCCCCCCAGCTGATGTTTTCCACGCAATTAAGCATACCGAATTCCGTGTCGATCCCCCCCACGATTGTTGAATGTGATGAATAAGTTTTTTATTTTTACGTATTTCGTTTGTTATACTTGTTACGTGGATGTACGTTTCTTATGTAAATATACCAAGTCAAATGAAAATGTGATTTTTATTTTCCTTTTTAATTGTTTTGAAATGCCGGAACTCAAGCCACCCGATAGAAATCGTGCGTCGCACGTAGGTCGCACGGCTTGAGAACGCACACGTGTGGTCGATTTCACACGCATATGAGTAGCAAAGCCGTGCGCGCCCACGCGATGAGCGCAGTATGAGCGCACGACTGTGCTTATCGGCAGTGATGCCAGATTCTATTAAAAAACATTAGATTTCGTTTTTATTCACTTTATATATAATAATAATTATAATTACAAAAATGATACAATCAATATTAATGAAATACCTAACTTAAAATTGAAATTTGCGTTGTTTCACTAGGTAAGTTCAATTAAAATGACATGCATCAACTGATTTATATATACAGTGCTTGCAAATCCAAGTCCGACCGCGTTGGGAAGGATGGTTGTTCAATACCCGCGTGAAAAGAATAAGGATAGAATGCCAAACAGAATTTGATTGGTCAGAGCGTCAGGCGTGCGTATTGTAAGCGCCTTCTGTTTGGCGTTCTATCCTTGTTATTTTCATGCGTCCTTCCCAAACCGGTCGGACTTGGATTTGCAAGCACTGTATATATATAAAATGACATGCATCAACTGATTTTTATATATATATATATATATATTAATTATCATTTATTATATTGCATTAAAATTCAAATTTTAAAAATCGCGCGTAACCGGTTAAAACATAACCTTATTACATTGCTGCAATCGGGTTGTGTTTGTATTGTATTGTATATTTTTTTATTGTGTTTGTTGTGTCCACGTGTTATTATAGTTAGGTATAAATTGATAAAAGTTATTAAGGATTTCAGGTAAGTGTGAAAAATATAAAGATTAAATCATAACAAGCATTTTCCCATCATAATTGAATATTTTTCTTGGGATTTCACAACAATTTAAATTTGAACCTGTGCATTTTTATTTACTTTAGGATTTTGTGATTTTACTTTTGTGATTATTTAGATTTTTATTTGATTTAGGATTTTGTGATTTTACTTTTGTGATTATTTAGTTTAGTATTTTTAAAATCACTTGATTAATTGATCATCTGCTTTTTTATTTACATTAAGATTTTTTTATCAACGGGTTTAAGGCAAAACGGCACAAATGCCAAAATTTAAAAAAAATTGTTACAGCTCTAGCTAGAGAATTTAATTCTCTATCAACCTGTAGGTACTTCTAACAATTTTTCGAAAAATTTGGCGCTTGTGCCATTTTGCATTAAACCCGTCGTTATTTCCGATATTTCCTTTTGAAATATACAACTTTTTTGACTCATTCATGTGCGCTGGAAATGCGTCGGCACACGTGCGCTTTAAATGCGCCGGCACACGTGCGCTACATATGAGAAGCATATGTAAGCGCATCTGTGTAGTGATCTGCGCGCACGCGTGCCGTTTAAAGACGCACGCGTGCACTCAATGTGCGCGCATCGTGACTACATTTTGCTATCTGGGACAGAGAAAAAGGCGGCGTGCTTTTAGAATGCCGTTGTTTTAAAGATTTTAGTTTTTTTTATAAATATAAAAAAAGGATAGTTTGTTTGTTTAAACTTTATTTACGTTTACTTAAAAATAAGAATATTTAAATTTTTAATATTAGTTTTATAAAAACATGCAAAAAAGTATAGTAATTGGACATTTTATATAGTAATTGGACACATGGACCATAGTTACATACAATTTTTATATAAACATAACAACTTTACATCAAATAACATAAATTGTTAAATATTTTTTAAAGATAAATTGCTGTTTTAGGTAATTTTTTTATTTCGTTTTTGTAAATATCATATAATTTATATATTTCTTTCTCGGATTCCTCACCCCTTTTCTGGATTCTGAAGGTAACTACTAATTCCTTGGTCTGACTTCTGAAATAGTTTGTTGCAAATATCATTAAGTGTGGTATCTCTAGTTTGTGAAGCATTTATAATGTTTTTAACATTTTTTCGGGTGGTATGTTAGAAGTATTATCCGAATTTATTAATTTTGTTGCCCTTAGTTTTTTATGTTCTCTATCATGCACTGTATTTAAATCAGTTATTCTGAAAAATGTCCTGTGACGAAGAAATCATTATATTACTCTCTAAAAATGAATTAGTCAAAAATGTCATAGCGAAAAAGCAGCCACTAATAATTCTTGTCAACAGCAATTTGTATCCAGGACATTTAGCAGTCAATTCCTATGAAATATTATTCGTTAAATCCGAAAATCTCGTCAAAAGATAAAAGTAGAACAATTTACATATAATATGGAATTAATTTTGTTGTAATTTAAACACAGCCCTGCTCTTAACAAAAAAAAAAACAAGTAACGTGCGAACTTTTTTGTCCTATATTGGACCCAAAATAAAGTAGTTCTATATTATTACCGACTGAGATAGTTATAATTGAATACAGCGTCATCTATTGATTTGACTTTAAGGTAACTATTTATAAAACTCTGTGGCGCGAGTTCTGGGACACCCTGTATAAACAAGACAATAAAAAATAGGTTTTTGTTATTATTATATATTTAAAACATATAAAACATTATTAAAGTAACAATTTAATTTAAATTAAATTTTGTGTAAGAATTTATTTAATATTCATCATTGATGAAAGGGTGATCTTTGTGCTCATACGCATCTACATAAGCGCAAAATCTGCCGTTGCAATCGAAAGTATCGATTAAAGCAATGTCATCCTTGGTGAGGTCGAAGTTCCAGATATCGAAGTTCTCGATGATTCTGCTTTTGGTGACCGACTTTGGAATGGTGATGTTACCTCTTTGTACTTGGTATTTTAATACTACTTGTGCGGGAGTTTTGTTGTACTTTTTGGCGATTGCTGTGATTTTTACGTCGTCCAACATTTTTGGGTCGGTAGGTTTGGCCCCTGGCCTATCTGGAGACCCTAAGGGGCTGTATGCGGTGATGGTGATGCCCTTTGATTTGCAAAACTCGATTATCTTTGTTTGGATCAAGTATGGGTGGACTTCAATCTAAAACCATTACCAAAGTGGTGATAACTTTAAATTGCTTAAGTATACTAAACAGCTACTTTAATTTTTACTTAAAAGTAATTCTAACTTTTAAACAGCAATATTTTGAACAGAACAGAAACTTCATTCTTTCCTTAAATGGTTACTATAAAGTAATAAACATTTAAGTAAAACTTGGTTGCCCCCAAAAACACTTTTCAACTTTAAAAAAGGTGTTATAAGTAAAAAAACTTTCAAGTAAATTTAATTTGTAGCAGTTACTTTCGGTTGCTACCTAAAGATTACATTATAATTATTTTTACTTTAAAGTCCCTTTGCAAGTTAAAATCTCGAAACTGGAACATAACTTAAAAACTGCAAAGTTAATAGCTTAAAAGTTATTATTTTAGTATTTGGAACGTTTATGGTACTAACCAAAACTACTGTTTATTCTTGTAATATATTGTTATTTTGTTTTTTAGTAAATTAAATTAAATTATGAAAAATAAAAAATGTGCATCCGCCATTTTTGATAAAACATTTAAAAAATGACGAATGCACTTTTAAAATTTTATGAAATATTAATGTTATTTTTTTTTAGTAAATTAAATTAATTTATGAAAAATAAAAAATGTGCATCCGCCATTTTTGATAAAACATTTAAAAAATTACAAAAAATAGTATATTACACTACAAGGGCCGAAAGTTGAATTTAAAAAAATCCTCAATAATACCAAACTTATTAAATTAAATTATGAAAAATTAAAAATGTGCATCCGCCATTTTTGATAAAACATTAAACACTTTTAAAATTTTAAGAAATATTAATGTTATTTTGCTTTTTATTAAATTAAATTAAATTATGAAAAATTAAAAATGTGCATCCGCCATTTTTGATAAAACATTTAAAAAATGGCAAAAAATAGTATATTACTCTACAAGGGCAGAAAGTTGAATTTAAAAAAATTATCAATAATACTAAACTTATTAAATTAAATTATGAAAAATTAAAAATGTGCATCCGCCATTTTTGATAAAACATTAAAAACTTTTAAAATTTTAGAAAATATTAATGTTATTTTGTTTTTTAGTAAATTAAATTATGAAAAATAAAAAATGTGCATCCGCCATTTTTGATAAAACATTTAAAAAATGGCAAAAAAATAGTATATTACTCTACAAGGGCAGAAAGTTGAATTTAAAAAAATCCTCAATAATACTAAACTTATTAAATTAAATTATGAAAAATTAAAAATGTGCATCCGCCATTTTTGATAAAACATTAAAAACTTCTAAAATTTTAGAAAATATCCCAGACCGCAAAATCACATTCCCTGCGGGAATATTCCAATCGTCCCAGAATATTCCCATGAATATTCCTGGCATAATCAAATGTCCGCTTTTTGGTTAACCCAGGCATCATAAAAAGAATATTCCATATATCTGCCTGCAGAAGACTCAAGGATTGTTAGGGGAATATTCCTTGATATAATTTGGGGATTATTCCCAGCCCTTATTGCCTCTTATACCCAGGAACTTAATTTAAGTATAGCCATTATTGAGTTACTGAGTAGATCAGTCCCACTCTAATCATTGTTTGGCTGTACCATCACAGACGCACATCTCCAACTAATATTATTAACCTATCGGTATATATAGTTATCAAGCGTGCGTAAGCAACGGTGAGAGGTATTGCAACTAAACTAATGAATATTCACTGGGAATATTCTTAGATGATGCTTGGAAGTTTTAGAGGATCATTCTAGGAATATTCCCAATGAATATTCCTAGAATGAAGCGGATTATTCCTAGGCGATAGGGAATATTCCTGGAATATTTTCGAACCTTCATTGCAGTCTGGGATTAATGTTATTTTGTTTTTTAGTAAATTAAATTATGAAAAATTAAAAATGTGCATCCGCCATTTTTGATAAAACATTTAAAAAATGGCAAAAAAATAGTATATTACTCTACAAGGGCAGAAAGTTGAATTTAAAAAAATCCTCAATAATACTTAACTCATTAAATTAAATTATGAAAAATTTAAAAAAATCCTCAATAATACTAAACTAAATTAAATTATGAAAAATTAAAAATGTGCATCCGCCATTTTTGATGAAACATTTAAAAAATGGCAAAAAAATAGTATATTACTCTACAAGGGCAGAAAGTTGAATTTAAAAAAATCCTCAATAATACTTAACTCATTAAATTAAATTATGAAAAATTTAAAATGTGCATCCGCCATTTTTGATAAAACATTAAAAACTTTTAAAATTTTAGGAAATATTAATGTTATTTTGTTTTTTAGTAAATTAAATTAAATTATGAAAAATTAAAAATGTGCATCCGCCATTTTTGATGAAACATTTAAAAAATGGCAAAAAATAGTATATTACTCTACAAGGGCAGAAAGTTGAATTTAAAAAAATCCTCAATAAAACTAAACTTATTAAATTAAATTATGAAAAATTAAAAATGTGCATCCGCCATTTTTGATAAAACATTAAAAACTTTTAAAATTTTAGGAAATATTAATGTTATTTTGCTTTTTAGTAAATTAAATTAAACTATGAAAAATTAAAAATGTGCATCCGCCATTTTTGATAAAACATTTAAAAAAAGGCCAAAATATAGTATATTACACTACAAGGGCAGAAAGTTGAATTTAAAAAAATCCTCAATAATACTAAACTTATTAAATTAAATTATGAAAAATTAAAAATGTGCATCCGCCATTTTTGATAAAACCTTTAAAAAATGGCAAAAAAATAGTATATTACACTACAAGGGCAGAAAGTTGAATTTAAAAAAATCCTCAATAATACTAAACTTATTAAATTAAATTATGAAAAATTAAAAATGTGCATCCGCCATTTCTGATAAAACATTAAAAACTTTTAAAATTTTAGGAAATATAAATGTTGTTTTTTTAGTAAATTAAATTAAATTATGAAAAATTAAAAATGTGTAAAAAAAACTTTAAAGTATACTTATTCGCTATAGCGAAAACTACTTCAGAGGAAAATGCTTCTTATCGGCCATTTTTTACTGTACAGTACCACGTGGTAATGTAAATAATAAATTATTTTAATTGTTTGTTAATGGTTGTTTTCTTTTTAATAAATAGTAATTTTGTTGGTAAAAGACGGTATTAATAATTAAATAAAAAATTAATAATAAATATTAAGATTTTTTTATTTATGAACATTATTAAATAAATAATTTGTTTATACTTAAATATTGATGAAGTGCAATTATTTTACAAAAATTAAATTCATAAGTTCAACAGTAAAATTAAAAGGGTTTATAAATTTACCTGCCTAATTAAACATTATATTGTTATAAACTACCAGTCATATTTAATAAACGACGACATTGAAAAGCCAAGTCCGTAGTGGTTCCATTTAAAAAATGAGGGATAGTATAATCTAATATAAGTTTGACAAAGACAGTTAATATAGAAGTAAAAACAAACAAATAAAAGTAATTATAACGCTCTATAGCAACGATATTGAAACGTTCTAGTAACGTAGCAGCTACGTTCCAAATAGTAGCAGGGTTTATAGCTAGTGACATATTTGCTACCTTTTTGGAACTCAATAATTGTTCCCCACTTTAGTCGTAACTTAGTAATGAAAGAGTAATATAAAGAGACCGGCGACTGTCGCAAAACACTTTAAAGTTCTTCAATAGTCCCATATACGTAACAAATACTTAAATTGTTGCTTGAGATATTGTTAAATATTGTCATTTGGAGGACCAAAATCATTTAAAAGTTGGCTTACCTGGTTTGTTTGAGGTACGATCGTGCAGTTTTGGAGGACGCGCTCGATTTGTCTCTTGTTAAAATTCGAGATTCCAATGGACATAGTGAGTCCTTTTTTCTGGACTTCCTCCATAGCTTTCCAGGTATCTACGTAATCGTAATCGGCGAACTTGTCGTCACCGCTTGGGAAAGGTTCAGAACCTTCCTAAATTTTTAATAAAATAACTAACTTGAATATATGTTGTTAATGAAAATAACTATAGTATCCCTTGTGGACATGTTTCTCTGAAAAAGTTTTAATAAGTAAAAATACGAGTTTTTAAAGTCTTAATTTTTCTTAAAAGTCTGAATAATACTTATTAAGACGGAAAAAGTCAGTAGTCAGACTAATAGCAAGAATTGGGAGTCTTCTAGAAGAGTTAATAATACTTTTCGCAGAGAAAGGGTAGCAACCTAACCAAACGTATCTCCCAACTGTTTTATTCTGTTCAATTAAAATAAACTTTGTTTACCTGTATTGTAAACATTGCTTCCGAGTTTTTATAAGCCTTGTAACAACACAAAAACAGTGTTTATAAATCCTTTTCATTGTGCTTTCTTTTGCAATATCCAAATACATCTCTAAATAATTTCGGATATTTATTTTAATCGCTATAGGTACCTACCATTTATTTGCTAAAAGTGCTATTAATCTGACTTACTAAGACTTATTCAGACTTTTTCCGAATTAATAAATATTATTCTTTTTTAAGAGAAAGTAAGACTTTAAAAATTCTTATTAAAACTTTCTCAGAGAAAAATTTCCACAAGGGATACCTATTGGTCACCCTGATAGCACACTTTATTCTAAGAATGTTTTTCAAACCTTCCAGTGAGAATATTCTTAGGATCATTCTATATTTCTTCTAAAGAACATGCTTAAAAGACATATAGCATGATCCTAAGAATATTCTTAGGTTCTTAGAAGGTGCAAAGTTTTAGTAGTAAAAATTAGTCTACACGGAGAGAAAAATTTTGCTAAAATAACTATCCAAAGTATTGTTAAATGACGTATCGTAAATTTAGTCAACTGTTTGATTAAACTGAGGATTTGTATGGCTAAATTAGCTATACAGATCCTCAGTTTAATAAAACAGTTGACTAAATTCACGATACGTCATTTAACAATACTTTGGATGGTTATTTTGGCAAAATTTTTCTCTCCGTGTACTCAAAACATATGCTTAGAATGTTAAGAAAGTAATTGCTATAGAAAGTTCATGTAGGAATATTCCTGTTAAGCATATTTAGTTCAGTTATCTATATAATAGTAAAATATACCATAAACTACGTATACACGGTATATACCTATACTATGCTCCACACCTCAAAGTCCCACCACGTGACCACGTACGAAACCATGATTTATTATCTATGTACGAAACGCAGTCTTTTGAAAAATTGGCATTTGAGGCTTTTCAGTTAGTCAATAAAGGAAATAATATTTATGGTGTTACCGCTTATGTTTAAGCATTAAAAGTTAATAAATCTTTATAGTATCACAATAACAATGGTTGGTTTAAGAATTTAGGAATATAAATACTGCATTTAATGAAATTCCAAAGTGTAAGGTGCAATATAAGTGATATTTTTGTGCATTAGGTCTACATTTCTCCATAAAATAGTTTTAACTAAACAGAATTTATTAAAAAAAATCTAACTTCTCTATTATGAAATAAGAATATCTGTATCAAGGGTAGGTTAATGTATTAGAACAAAAATATCATCTAATTTTGTATTTTAAGGTTAGAAAAATCTATTTTGACCAAAATAAATAAGTGGATTATTTGGAATAGTGTGTTAATATGGTGATAAATAAATATAGGTATACTAAATAATTGTTGAATATGGTTCAAATTAAATTGAAGCTTTTATACTTCTAATGACAAAACTTGTGCATACCTCTTGGCATACGTACTTTAAGTTAGATTATAAGAAAACAAACAATTTTTAGAGAAACTTGCAATGTGAAAATATTTAATACTCCCATGACATGTGATTTATTAAATTTTTTAAAGTTATAATGATTTTTCGATGTAGATCAAGTTCAGTCGAAGCTTTTTAACTATTTATATTGACAAAACTTTATGTAGGTACACTTTAAGCTGGATAAGATAAACTACCACATTTTTAAATACCATATTATACATTCTTTTAAATAATCCAAAATACTTATTTATTTTGGTCAAAATAAATTTTTCTAACCTTAAAATTACAAAATTAGATGATATTTTTGTTATAATATATTAACCTACCTTTAAAACAGATATTCTTATTCCATAATAGAGAAGCTAGAATATTTTTAATAAATGCTGTTTAGTTAAAATTATTGTATGGAGAAAACCAGATATTTGGACCAAATGCACAAAAATATTACTTATTTGGCACCATACACTTTAGAATTTCATTAAATGCAGTATTTATATTCTTAAATTCTTAAACCATCCATTGTTATGTTATAAAGATTTATACATTTTTAACGCCTAAACATAATATTATTTCTTTCGTTGACTATACTTTGACAGATACATAGGTAACCTGAAAAGTCTTAAATGCCAAATTTTCAAAAGACTGCGTTCCGTACGTGGTCACGTGGTGGGATTTTGAGGTGTGGAGCATAGTACCTAATTAGTAATTAGTATTAAATACTAAGTAAAAAACACAATCCAAAATATTTTTTGCTAGTTATTTGTCGAATTAAAACAATATTCGATAACAAAAATATTTTATGTTAAAAATAAATATTTATTAATTTGTATACCGATTTTTTTTTTCTGAATTAACATTTTTATGTATAATAATCCAAACTATCTTCAACTTCAATCTAATCTGACTTATCCCACAAAATTTTATAATTTTACTTTTTATGAAATAATGTCATACAACTTATGGTTTAGAGGTCAAATTGTTTATTTAATATTTTTAAATAAATATATATTAATATGTCGCAAAATTTAAGGGGACGACAAATACATTTCACTGTCATATTATGACAGTGAGGCGTATTTGTCGTCTCCTGAAGAATTTTACGAATGTAGAATACAACATATTAGAACGTGGGTATGTGACATATTTGGAAATATTCTCAAAAGCTTCCTAGAAGCTCCATAAGAAACCTTCTAAGAACATTCCAAAAACGTATTCTTAAAATGTTCTTAGGATGCTTTTTAGGAAGGTTTTAAGAAGCTTTTAAGAATCTAATTGCATCATTAAAAGGGTATCTATTGAATGTTTTAAAAGTCCCTAAGAACATTCTTAGCAATAAGGGAAGGTTCTAAGAATATTCCATTATTCCGGGTCATATCTTCTTAGAAGATTCTTAAAATCAAATTTTGCTATCAGGGCACTTACACAGATTTCCCATCTTGGTGAATAAAAAAAGCAGTAGTAGCTTTTTTAAAACAGGACTCTCTTACCTTAAAAGCAAAGGGCCAATGGATCAGGTACAAATCCAAATATTTCAAGCCCAAGTCCTGCAAGGTGTTTTTGAGGGCCTCCTCTACTGCGCCGGGCCTGTGGTGGGTGCACCACAGTTTGCTGGTGATGAAGATGTCTTCGCGCTTCACTTTTCCTTCGGCGAATTTTTCTTTGAGGGCTTCGCCGATTTCTTTTTCGTTTCCGTAGACGTGGGCGCAATCGATGTGACGGTAGCCGGCATCGATGGCGTCTTTCACGGCTTGACCGACCTCACCAGGCTTGGACTGAAATGTGAAACACGTTAGTCCACACTGTTTTTGGTTAAAAGTTTTAGACGCTTCCAGCATCCCTAGTAGCAATTCCGGAAAAGTCTTGGCCCAGCATGGGTCAAGATACTTTGGACAGATTTTTGCTCAAGAATTGTACAAGAATTGTTCCAGATTCTTGGCCAAGATTATTGGGCAAGACTTGAGCCAGACTGTGGCCAGAATTTGACAAGAATTTGACTAGAAATCTGAGGCCATCTATTGCTAAACTTTGGGACCATCCTATAGAGTAGAGGTTCTCATTCTACAGTAGTATCATTCACAATAATGTATACTAGTCGAGAAGTGAGTTCTCTGTAGGAAATGAGTATAGTTTTTTTGTTTATGTGAAAATACGAATAAGAGCTTATTGGATTCGTCTTCTAGCTGAGAAAAAAATTGATTTTTTGAAAAATAAAAATTGTTATTTCTAAAAATCAAAAATTAAAAAAAAAAGTATGTGTCAGCTCTGACGCATAACTAGAGTTTACTCTTTATGAACATGAAAGATTATAAAATACATGTTTATTTTTACATAACATAGGAAATTAAAAACTTTAACTCTTTCAAAATTTGTTTCGTTTTTAATTCTATTGTTTACCAGATTTATGGATAAAAACCGAATTTACTGGAAAGAAATCGTGGAAAATTAATGTTTTTAGTAACATTCTTAACTTTTGAAGTTCAACAAAATTTTGTATTGACCAAAAATCTTGAATTGAAAGTTCCTATTTAACGTGTAATCGTGTAAAAATTCTTGGCCAAGAATCTGGTCAAATTCTGGTCACAGACTTGTCCAAGTCTGCCACCAGTCTGGATAAAGAATTTTGATCAAGAGTCTTGGTCAAGAATTGTCCAATTCTTTACAAAGTGCTTCTCCAAGTATCTTGACAAAGAATCTTGTCCAATTCCATTGCTACTAGGGATAGGTTTACGCCATTTTTAAAAATTCAACAAATTTTTTTTATTTCAAAATTGTTTCTAGGCTATAACCTAACAATTTAAACGATACCCAAGTGAAAACAGCCAACTTGATAAATAACGGACACCCTAATAAACATGTAATTATAAAATCTAAAATAGGTATCTGGTGGACATTGCGCATTGCGTAAATTTAAGAATTGCCAAAAAATACTTTTAAAGCATACGAACTGTACATCATTTTTAAATAAATAGGTAGTTTTTCACAAAAGATAGGAAGGGAGAAGTCTTACTAGACAAATTTTGTTCAATTGCACATTGCACGTTATTTGAATACGTCAATGCAGAAACTGAATATGTCCTACCTATCTAGTTTTGAGATAAATAAGAAAAACTGAACAGAAAGTGGACATATGTTCTGGACATATTCAGTTTCTCTACTATATTAACGCCTTTGTATATTCTAGATTACCGTGACATGTGAAATTTCTACGCCATTCGATCGGGCTCCCTTTACTTATAGTAAATCCATGTTTAACTCAATAGCCCTAAAAAGTGGACATATTCAGTTTCTGCATTGACCTATTCATTTGTGTTTTACGTTGCAAGGAAAAAAACTAAAAAACTGGTTTAGTACTCGATTTCGATTGATTATTCTTTATATCATTGATTAAGAAACTCAACGCCTAAATGCTTATATAGTTACGTTAGTGTGTGTATTTTATCTAAGGGATCATGGTGAATTATTGTGTTTTTAATTGTAAATAAAATTCAAGAACTAAATCGTTGCATTTTCTTGTTTTGCCAAAGGATCCAATTCGGTAAGTACATTTGTTGGTGCAGAATTAACTAATGATAACTTTACCTAATATAACTTATATTTAAGTTTTTTAAGAATTTAGTAAAAAAAATAATTTTTGCACAAACAACCTTAAAATCAACCATTTTTATATTTGAGTTATCTAAAAAACGCCGACAACTGCATTTTAAACAACAAAATATACCTACAATTTGTAGGCTACAAATTCATGGCAACATAATATTATGTAGGTATAATACATAATATAATGGTATAATACATAATATAATGGTATTTTAACGTTGAGTGGAGTCTTTCTTAATCAACGCTTTTAATAATGCTAAATGCTGTTTAAATCTAGACGACTTATTTGTTTGACGATTTTTACTGAATTGAAATGTTTACACTTTTCACGTTAATCATTACTAAAATGTGTATTTATTGTATCTAATAGATACAATTTATATTTACAGGGACTGTATGAAATTTATTTCTTCATTCGGATTAACACTGTTTATTGGAAAACCGATAAAAACTCAACCCAGGATTTCCTCTCGAAATACACCCAACAACACAACAAATCGTGCCACGGTTTTTTTTTCGATATTTTTTTTAACATTTTCCGGCTTTATTTTCAAAAACACTCGTTTGTAACACACGCGTTTGACAGCTGATTATCAAAAGTTGTACTTTTGTTACGATGATAACAGCCGAGTGGTGGCGCTACTAGCGATACTTCTTTATGGTATAACACGAAACGTAACGTAAAGTAAATGTTTATATTTTTAAAGCCCTTAAATTAAACGTCAGTTTTATATTCGTAACCATATTCTGTTGTTCGTAACCTACGAATCACAGCCCCCCTATAGGGGGTATACGTCGATAACTGTATATATACTACTTGTGTTATTTTTAAACTACAACCGTAGCTTTTGACAGTGACGTTTATACTTGGGGTTAATATTTTTATAGATGTTTTTATTCCTAAAACTCCTAAAAGGTAAAACTATTTTTTAACAAAACTATTGCATCATCAAATATTAGATAAAATAGCACTTTAACCGCAAGGATAGATAAAGAACTTTATTTTTTAAGTACTTCACTTAATTGTCTAATTTTCGAGCATCAAAAGTTGATTACGTGAATTTTTTGACGCTAAAAAATAGCTTTTAGCCATGAACACTCTATTAATAGGGATAATAGGGACTACATAAATATTATTCTGTCATATTCAATTGATTAATCCGAGTAGGATTGTCTAAAAATCCAACGCAGTCAGAATTTATTAGTAAATTTTTTTATTAGTAAACTTTAAATAGCCAAGGTCACGATATTAATTTTATTTATCCATTAATAATTATATAAGAACTTAAATACAACAATTTTTTATTTAATATATCTCTCAAGGTTTAGAAAACACGTGTACTGATACATTTTTAATTAAAATACAAAAAACAAAAACAAATAAAAAGGTAAAAAAGCTTTACCTACACAATTTTCAAAATTAATAATTAATCACTTACCTTCCACGTTCCCAACCCAAAAATAGGGATGGTTTTTCCATTGTTGAATGTTATAAGTGGAACCTGAGACATTTTGAACACCGCACTTTACTTCAAATAGGCGAGGATTAAACGTTGAGGTTAGGAGCCACCTCGATTTATATAAATTTCTAGAACAAACGCTATTTTATCTACGCATGACAATCAAATTTGCTGGATCATATTGTAGTGGTTGTATAGGATATTATTTAATTAGTTACGTAATTAAGTTATGTTTTAATCGCGATTTTGAAATTTCAAGTTATAAATATATCCCGTTGCTAAATTTATTTTTTAAGATATGAAACATTATTAGCTATCTATATACATTATTTCCAAATATGTTTTTTTTCTTGGGTATCATCTAAATTATTTGTTTACAGCTAAACAATTTAGAAAAAAATATTTTTCTGATTCCGTTAAACTAAATAAATATAAATTTATATAAAGTTTAAAATATATTTATAAATATATTTTAAACTTTGACCTCCGTTATCATTTAAATGGATTTTTGCGTAAAAGACCTTTTTTTGTAGAGCGTAACAGTTTCTACAAAAATTTGTCTTGTGTCTATTAGTAATAAAGGTAGGTATTTATTTTTAAAAAAATTAAAATAAAATTTTAAAATATCGTTTAAGGGTTAATTAAAAAATCTTTTGTTTTAATTGTGCAATTTATATGTAAAGAAATAATTTTGATGATACCAAATTAGGTGAAAAAGGACAGATTAAAGCCAACTTATCAAATTCGAAAAAAAAATTGTTATGTAGGTACCTGCTTCAATATCATTTAAATTAATGGTTTTACGTAAAAATCGTAAGACTTTTTTTTTGTAAAGCGTAACATTTCCTACAAAAATATGTTTTCTATATTGTTGCATGTCTATTAATTAGCGAGGTATGACTATTTTCTTAGGTCAATAAAATATGTTTTTTCAATTTTTTTTATTGTAAGCAAATAATTTAAATGATAGGTACCCAAGTAAAAAAAAACAATTTGGGAAATAATATACAGGTTGTTGCAATCGTCAAGAAACTTGTAATTCTTTATTATAATATAATCTATACTAAACTAGATAGATATTTTCGTCCTATTTGGTGAATTTTTGGAGTTGATAATTACACGTATTCACATAAAAATTTGTTTTTGTTTGTACATACCTACTTGCTGATTTCACTATTTGTTATCTTGAGTAAACTTATCAAAATTCTCAAGTAGTACCTAAACGATAACATATTTTATAGGTAAATTCCAGAAATTTATATTAAATTTCTTAGTAGGTATCTGATATAGTAATTTATTTAGATTTTGAGTTATGGCCATAATAAAAACTAAAGATTGCGATGGTAACTCAAAATATAGAAGCAAGAATTCATTTAAATGAGTTTTTAGTTTTTTTTAAATATTTCAAAAACCTCTGTTTTTTTTTAATTTATAAATTCTATTTTATTAGGATTGCAATGACGTATCTTTTCTCTAATATAACCGACCCTGTACAGGGTATATCCAGATAGCACACAAAGTCTTGAAGATGTCTTTTGTATGTCTGTATTATGCCTGAACGTCTGAAGATCTAAAAAAGACGTCTGAAAGACGTCTTTTGATAGACGTCTTAAAGATATCTTCATTTAATGTTCTAAAGACATCTTATATATGCCTGATCCCGCTGTTTATTTTTTTTAATTTTTTGATAAAATAGTGAATTTTGACAAGTCAAAATCGAAATTATATCCCATAATCAGCCACTTATTACACTTAAACATGGGACAAATAAACTGTGTAGCTAATACTTTTTATTAAAAGTGAATATATTGTTTATTACCTCTAAATAGTCGAAATACTTGACAAGAAGTTTAGACTCTATTGATTTAAATTAATAGGTAGAAATAAATATGTAACAATTTAATTTTTTTTATTTTAAATAGAAGTAGGTATACGTTATTTTTAAAAGTTTAATACCTTAAAAACGTTTTGGCGATGTAGCAATGCATAACCAAGACGTAGTCTTTAACATCTTAAAGACGCTGTGTTTTGTAACATTAGATATCTTAAAGATGACTTACGTCGTAAACTGGACGTCTTGGGGATGTCATAAACTTCCGAGTCCGACATCTTTAAGATGTCTCTGTGCCATCTGGGTAAAGGGCCATTATTAATGGCCTTTACGGTTGTTCTATCTTCTACAGTGACCTGTAATTATGAGAGAGTAAAAAACCTGTTCATGAAATAACCGATTTAATTTAGTATTCAAATAACATTAATTTTAATACATCATATGCCCCAGGAAGTAATTTATTTTTTATTTAAACTAAGCGATTTTTTAAGCTCGTCGATTTCAGCGATGTATTTCATCGCCTCCTTACGCTTATTCTCATATGCCTCTGAAATGTGTTGCAGAGCAATTTCGGTATCTATGGAGATTCGTTTGGCCCGGTTCGCCTCATTCAATTCTTCTATCATTTCCTTCTTCAACCTTAAATTGTCGTTCTCCACTTCGGATATGCTTCGTTTAAGTTTGTCCTTTTCCTTTTCGAAATCGTGGCTCTTTTTAATCTCAACACTCAAGTCGGCCTCGCTTCTTTCAAGTTGCTTTTTCGTTCTGTTCAAGTCGTCAGTCAACTGGTCATTCTGGAAGATTAGTTTGGTGTTTTCCACTTCCAAATTGGTGATCTTGTCTTTCATGTCGATCAACTTGGTTTTCAAGGTGCCTTTTTCGTCATCGTTCCTTTCTTGGCGGAGTTGCTCATTCAACGCCAGCGTTTTCTTCTGCTCCAACTCCAGCTGTCTTGTGAGTTCTTTCAGAGTGTCGCTGATTTCGACGGGTTGATTGTTGATTTGTATTCTGTGTTGATCGCCTTTAATCCTTCCCAAAATTTGGTCTAAGCCGTCGAAGGCACCATGAAGCGTTTCTTGTTTTGTAGTCACAGTCTCGTGGCTGTTCGTTTTGGAAGGAGCTTTAATCTGCTTGAGTTTCGATTTCAGTTGTTTGTTCTGAAGAATTAGCAAACTTTTCTCGCTGCGCAAAGATTGATATTGGTCCGTGGCAATGCTGCTTCTCTTTAAGTCCTCCAATTCTTGAGCGAATTTTTCCAAATTTGAATACAACTTTTTGTTCTCGTCGTACAGAAACGACTGATTTTTCAATAATTTTCGATTGGAATTTTCTAAATTTATTAATGTACTCGATTTTTCGGTGACTTGCTCCATGACGTTTTCTTTGTGAAAAATTTTTACGAGAATTTGACGGGATTATAGACAATGCAAACTAATATTTAACACATTTTCAGATTTGATGATTAAACTTTGATTTATGACACAAACATACAATTTTTGACAAACAACGATTTTTGAACATTAAAGCGTTGCCATTGATATATAAGCATACCACAGTAATAATAAATTTATTATATTCTCTATATCACATTATTTAAAAGCAAGAAATATAATGAACACTTTAATATCGAAATTTGGTTTTTCTCTAGAAAATGTAAGTATTTTTTGGAATTGACAGCTTTAAATAGCTTTGAGTTTGTTGAACCTGAAATCAAAAAAGCTATATTAATATATAATTATAAGAAAATAAAAAACTATTTATGTAGATCACAAGTTTTAGAAATAGGTTTATAAAATACTCAAATGAAATAAAAAGATGAAAAAGACAAATTTAAACTAAGTAACCCTAAAGTAAAGCGACAACTTAATATTAAAGAAGAAAATGATAAAAGAAATTAATGAACTGAGGATGTATTTTGGATTGCCTAAGCAACAGTAAACCAGACACCTGTTGAGTACATATCGACCTAATACTTATCTCGGACTTAACCTATGTTAACTTTAGTTATAAGTTCGTGAACTAATCAAGAGGGCTGTTTGTTTAATTAAAAGATAACTGTTTATTGATAAAAACCAAATAGTATTTACAATTGTGTAAATTACATTTAAAATTAACTGATAACAGAGTTGATTTAAAAGCATTCTAAAAGGTTAATTCTGTGTCTGTTCTAGTTGATTGTGGGCAAAATCATTGACAAAATAATGAGTGTTCCAAAGTTGAAGTTAAATAATGGACTTAAAATTCCCGTATTTGGATTAGGAACCTGGAAAGTAAGTATTACGAATCTATTTTCTATAACCCAAAAAATTAGTATAAAAACCTGTGAAAATACGTCAATATACCTACATATAAAATAAAAATATCGAAAAAAAAAAAACCGTGGCACGATTTGTTGTGTTGTTGGGTGTATTTCGAGAGGAAATCCTGGGTTGAGTTTTTATCGGTTTTCCAAAAAACAATGTTAATACGAATAAAGAAGTAAATTTCATAGTCATTGTAAATATAAATTGTATCTATTAGATACAATAAATACACATTTTAGTAATGATTAACGTAAAAAATGTAAACATTTCAATTCAGTAAAAATCGTCAAATAAATAAGTCGTCTAAATTTAAACAGCATTTAGCATTATTAAAAGCGTTGATTAAGAATTTTTTAAAGTCTTCACTCAACAGTAAAATACCATTATATTATGTATTATATATAATATTATGTTGCCATGAATTAGTAGGTATATTTTGTTGTTTAAAATGCAGTTGTTGGCGTTTTTTAGAGAACTTAAATATAAAAATGGTTGATTTTCAGGTTATGTTTGTGCAAAAATTATTTTTTACTAATTTCTTAAAAATTTCCAAACTTAAATATAAATTATATAAAGGTAAAGTTATCGTTAGTTAATTCTGCACCAACAAATGTACTTTGAATTGGATCCTTTGGCAAAACATGAAAATGCAACGATTTAGTTCTTGAATTTTATTTACAATTAAAAACACAATAATTCACCATGATCTCTTGGATAAAATACACACACTAACGTAACTATATAAGCATTTAAGCGTTGAGTTTCTTAATCAATGATATAAAGAATAATCAATCGAAATCGAGTACTAAACCAGTTTTTTAGTTTTTTTCTTGCAACGTAAAACACAAATAACGTGCGCGATTTTGCTGTGCAATTGAACAAAATTTGTCGAATAAGACTTCTGCCTTCCTCACTTTTGTGAAAAAACTACCTGTTTATTTAAAAATGATGTACATTTCGTATGCTTTAAATGTATTGTTGACAATTCTTAAATTCACGCAATGCTTTTGAAGTCCACCAGATGGCGCGCGCGTTGCGAAAACCCGATACTTCTTTAGCGTATAGGGTCCTCAATTATTACACGGAGAGAAATGTATAGTAAATTTTAGATAGTAAAAAAATATAGTAAAATTTACTTTAACAAATTTTTAGGGTAACACTATTATATATTCGTCAATGCAATATTATGATTGTGATACAAAATACTATTTTTTATTATACAATTTTAGTAAAGATTACAACACCAATATTACTAAATCATAAATGTATAATATATATTTTAATTTTTAATATGTTCGTATAGTAAATTGATTTTACTATCTACAAATAGTAATATTTGCTATATGAGGTGGACATCTAATATTATAATATATTACACATTAATAAAAAATATAGTAAAAATAAAGATAATTTTATGTTTAAGGTAAATAACCAATATATTTAAATATAATATACAATATAGTAACTCATGACATTTTAAACATTCAATTTTCTTAGTTTCTTCAATAAACTTTCTTGACCTATTACTGGTAATACTTATAAGAAAGAATTAAACCTACTTGGTTGCATAGTATGTACCGATTGCGGCAAAGGCCACGTCGCGACGCGTCGTTAGACGGTGTGGATCACGTGATGTTCTTACATCTCGCCTCTGTTGGCTTACCAACCATGTTATATAAGCTCGGGTATTTCTTTGTTTTGGGTGTGTTCCACTACTACAAGTTGCTCGACAGTGTCGTGTCGACACTGATGATACCCAATATAGGTCAAAACACCTGTTTGTCGGTATTTGAAGTTGATGGAACGCACTCAAAACAAAAAACTTTGGCGAGGTGTAGGTTCAATTCTTTCTCATAACATTTTTTATATTAAAATGTACAATAAATATGTTGCAATTTTTAATTGCTAACATATAAAAATATTCGATTTTAAAATATTTTATATTTAAAATGGCAACATAATACTTTAAAATTTACTATACTTATTAGTAATGGAAAAAATCTAATTATAATAAGAATTAAAAACAAAATTGGTTGAGAATAATATTTTACCTTAAGGTTTAACATACATGGATATTTAAAAATTACCTCGAAAATTACTAAATATGTAATATAAATTATAGTAAAGGGTATTATAATTATGGTAATCAGCATTATATATATCCGTGTATTTTAATCATTATTAACAAAAATGACTTTTAGTCCAAACCCGGCGAGGTGGAACAAGCCGTCAAAGACGCAATCGACCTTGGCTACCGCCACATCGACTGCGCCTACGTCTACGGAAACGAAAAAGAGGTGGGAAACGCCCTCAAGGCCAAGTTGGACGAGGGCGTGGTGAAACGCGACGACCTCTGGATCACCAGCAAGCTGTGGAACACCTATCACAGCCCCGCGTTGGTGGAAAAGGCCATCAGGCAGACCCTAGCCGATTTGCAGTTGACTTACTTGGATTTGTACCTCATCCACTGGCCTTTGGGGTATCAGGAGGGAGGGGAGAACTTCCCCTTTGACGCCAACAACAAAATAATCTTCAGTGACGTCGATTACGTTAATACCTGGAAGGGTATGGAGGAAGTGTGCAAGAAAGGCCTTACCAAATCCATTGGTGTGTCGAACTTCAACAAGAAACAAATTGAAAGAGTTCTAGCGGTGGCTACTATAAAACCAGCAATGAACCAAGTAAGAACTCTTTAACCTAAAATTTAAAAGAAATGCACTAGATTCTGTCATAAAAGTTGGCAGATTTTGTTTGAATTTACCTTCAACAATTAATAAAAACACCAAATTGACAATTTGCATTGTTAATTTTGTCATTTTTGTAATTAAGCTAAATTTAAACAATGTTTGTCAACTTTTTTGAGAGATTTTGGAAATACTGTTGTTACCAACCATAACATAATAAATCCACCAGATTAACCTAAAGTTCCTAGTCGATCAGTGGCGTACTTTTTGGTAGGATAAAGGTTATTATAAATTATTTTTAGACTTTGGAATTTAGAAAAAAAAAGTTTCAGGTGCTTCTTTATGGACCCTAAGGAACAACCCATTTTAATATATAACATTAATTACATAACACCCTGTATTTAATTGGCTAATTGGTGTTTAAAGAAGAAGAATGTAAAAAATATCTTTAAGATTCTTATGGTTTATATCGTAAAGTATAATAAGTGAAATTAATAAAGAGTTAATTTAAACGTATAAAAAATGCGTTAAGCAGTTTTTTGTCGGTTTCTTTCACAATTTAAACCAAGTTAGTTTTGTTCTATTATTTTGATCCCTTTAGTAAGGCACTGAATAGTTAAAAGTTATATGTATGTATTTTAAATGTTAGTGTGAAAAAAAATTTACACAATCTGTAAATACTTCTTTAAATTTTAGTTTTTAGGTAACTGGTTAAAATAAAACATGTTATAACAAAGGGGTTTATAATAAACCGTTTATTTAGAATATTTTTTGGTTTTTGTTTTTTTTAACAATTTGAAACTTCTCAGAACTTGAATATTTTCTATGAAGAAGAGGTACAAAATTATGATATGTTCTTGCATTTTTAGTTGCAATTAAATTCATGAATCTCGAACACTCCGTCATTTATTACACTTGCAAACTTGCAAATTAATAATATTGACTAAGTCAAAGCCATCTAAATTTTAAATTATAAATAAAACTAACAATATTGCTTCTTAACTGCATTAAAAAAATTATTATATCTTTTACATGGATAAAAATAACAAAATAAGACTAACTAGACTGAAAAGATGAAGGTGGGGACTACATTTCTTGAAAGTTTCATATTTTTATTTTTTCCTCAACATAATGATTTCTGAGGGCAAAATTGGCTAATTTTGAAAATTATCAAGTTTCAATAATTTTTTTAATAAAGAAAATGATAGTGATGATACCTGAAAAAAGCAACTTTCTAGATTTAGCAGAATAGGCACAGGAGCCAGACAAAAATCACAAAAATTGGCAAATTATTACAAATCTTTAGTGGTTTACCATTCTTTTATGAGATGAACTGATTAAATAATAATAATTAATATTTAAAACATACTTACTAGGCAGTAAAATAAAATTACAATCATTTCAATAATTGCCACAGAAAAAAAGTTTTAGCCTCTTACAAGAGAGTAAGAAAATGACACGATTTCAGGTTTCTAAAGGGTGCCGATTAAAAATAAAGCAACTAAAAATTAAAACGGCAACGGTTTTTCATATATGATATCTAAAAGATCATCCTCAAATTTTTTAATTAAAATAAAAAATCATGCAGCGCACTTTTAAATTCATTTTTGGTGTTTTCATTTGGATTGACTCATAACCAAAAGTGAAATCAATTAATTTTAATTATTTAAGGTTGAATGTCACCCATACCTAAACCAAAGAAAACTGATCGACTTCTGTAGATCGAAAGACATCAGCGTGACTGGTTATAGCCCATTGGGCTCCCCTGACAGGCCCTGGGCTAAGCCAGAAGATCCCCAATTGTTGGAAGATCCAAAATTGAAAGAGTTGGCTCAAAAATATGGCAAAACGCCAGCGCAAATTTTGTTGAGATACCAAGTTGAAAGAGGTGTAATAACCATTCCAAAATCGGTTACCAAATCGAGGATTCAACAGAATTTCGAAATATTTGATTTCCATCTTGCACCTGAAGATATTAAGTACTTGGACACTTTTGATTGTAACGGAAGGATGTGTCCTATGACTGCGTAAGTAGATTAATTAATATCCCTTTTGGGTTAACATTTCTAATACTAATATAAATTCGAATTCAGATATTAAATGAATTTTTTCTTTTAGGGGATTGGGCCATCCACATCATCCATTTGAACATGATGAATTTTAAATTACAAAGATATAATTTTGTAAGAAAAAAACATTATTGCTGCAAAATGTTGTAATAAAGTTGTTTAAAATTAATTATGCATTAGTTTAATTTTAATTTTCTTATCAGAGCTAAGATAGATAAATTAAATTATGAATGGAAAGTTTATGACCAAAAACCAGATAGCAATTATCTAAAAAATGTTTTTTATTATTAAATTAGAATTTAACTATGATTAAAGTCAAATCATTAGATGACGCTTTACACAATAATTATTATAACCATATCAGTCGGTAATAATATAGAACTACTTTATTTTGGGTTCAATAGGGGACAAAAAAGTTCACACGTTTCTTCGCGAATAATATTTCATAGGAATTGACTCGATACAAATTGCTTTTGACGATAATTTTTAGTGGCTGCTTTTTGCTATGACATTTTTGACTAATTCATTTTTAGAGAGTAAGTAATATAGTGATTTCTTCATCACATTACATCTTGCAGAATAAGAGTGATTTAAATACAGTGCATAAAAAACTAATGGCAATAAAATTAATAAATTCGGAAAATTCTTTTAACATACCACCCGAAAAAATATTAGATATATATGTATATAAATCATCCTGTATGAGGCGCCGTTTGTGCCATAATTATGATTTGTAAAATATATAATAATTTCTAAAATATATATATATATTTTGTTTAAAATATAAATATTTTATATGAAATACATATATATATTTAAGCTTATTTTATAACATATATATTAGTTTTACTAAAATATAATAATATTTTTACAAAATTATATATATTTAAAATATTTATATATTTGGACAGTTGAACTAATAATCAGTGTTGTAACGTATCTAGTTACAAGTAACTAGATACAGTATCTAGATACTTTTTATGTATCTGTTTGTGTAACTAGTTACTTATCCCATTCTAGTAACTATAACTGTAACTAGTTACAAATTCTAAGTAACTAGGTGTGTTAAGATACAAAGATACATTTTTAATTAAACTGCGACTATTATTTATTAAAAAAAAAATATTATAAAAAATAAGTTATTTTAAATAAAATATTATAAAAAAAATAAAAATAATAAACATGTATATTTTTGTTGTCACTTTAAAATTCTCTTTTATTTCTATTTTAAATTTATTAAAGCAAAAAATAATTTGTATGTATCTTAAAGTATCTAGATACTTTTTGAAGGTAACTGTATCTGTAACTAGTTACTGCAATAAAATATGTATCTGTATCTGTATCTAGTTACAAATTTTGGTAAGTAACTGTAACTGTAGCTAGATACTGAAAATATTGTAACTGTTACAACACTGCTAATAATATAATTTTAATACTAATAATATAAACTCAGCTTACAAGACGTAACGCCAGGAGGCGCTGGCATGTCGGAATTACTGTGGTGTAAATTAAATAAAACGAAGATACATTAAAAATAATAATACCTCTGGTACGTAATAAAGCACTTGGGTATAAGTTTAAATTAAAATCTAACAGATTAATAGGTCATATAAAATTTAACCGCAGTAATGGAACCAAATCGACGACATAGTTTTGCGTAGCCCAGAATTAAGGAATAAAAAATTATTGTTTAAAAAGAGAGTCACGACAATAAACATCCAGTTAAACATATAATAAATAACAAAAAGCCAAAGTGCGGCAAAAAGTTATTTAATATACACCACTGTAATTCTCACATGAAATGAAAGAAAGGCTGCGTTGCCAAGTTAAATAAAGCTGCCAGCGCCTCCTAGCGTTACGTCTTGTAAGCTTAGTTTATATTATTAGTATTGAGTTTATATTATTAGTTTACTGTTTTAAATATATATTATTTAGTTAAAATATTATATATTTTAGTAAAACTAATATATATACTATATATATTAGAAAATGAGTTAAAATATATATATTTCAAACAAATTATTTATATTTTTACAAATAATTATATTTTATAAATCATAATTATGGCACATTACAACATTATAAATGCTTCACAAACTAGATATACCACACTTCATGATATTTGCAACAAATTATTTCAGAGGTCAGACAAAGGAATTAGTAGTTACTAGGGATGCACCGGATTTGATTTTGGCCGGATTACCGGATGCAGTAATCCGGCGTCATCGGCCGGATTAACTCCGGCCGGATTTTGGCGGATTTCGCCGGAGTCGGCCAGATCTTACAGTGTTTTTACACAGGCAGGTGCAGTTTCTGTTTCAGTATTATGCAAATCTTGCACTTAGTTACCAATTACGTGTTGATGTGGTATGTGGGGATCCTGTTCCCGAACAGGCAACCAACAATACAAGTAAATTAACATTTGTCTTTTAAAACAAGGAGAAAAATTGACAGACCTTGCATTTAACGCATGCATTCTAGTCCTATTAAAAATAAATAAAAGTGTTTATATTTTAGGTACCTGCCCACCTTATAAGTAATCATTATTAGGTGGCGCATTGTCGTGTGTAATTTTACACCAGGTTTTTGTCATGTACCTACTTGTTATTTTGGCGCGTTAAAACTGATATAATATGTATATATATATACATATTATATTAGTTAAAAAGTAATAAATTTATACATATATATATATATATATATATATATATATATATATACGTATACGTATTATTATAGCTATTTTTGTAACATCGGCTGTTCTGGTTTTGGCTTCGCCTCGACCGCAAACAGCTATAGCGAATCGTATACGATTCGTCCTAAAAAAACATGATTTTTAGGTATATGTTGCAAACAACATTTTTTGTTATAGGTCCATATATTCAAATTTTTAAATAGAGTAAATACCTATTTCTCGAAATTAAGGTTATTGACAGTGACAGTGAGTCACTGTCAGTGACAGTTATCGAATTTTATTTTTAATTGTTGTATCGCAATGGTTCAAGAACCATTTTGCAAAAGTTTCCATAGCAACTTTTTCGTACTAGTACAAAAAAAGAATTATTTTACGGACTCAAATGAGTTCCTTAAATAGCTATTTTAGGGGAAAAAAACAAAAACATATATATTTATCAATAAATAAAAGTTTTTAAAACCAATATTATAGTAAAAAGTATATCTTTATAAAACGTTTAAAAAAATAATAAATAGGTAACATACAAATAAATAAATATTATTTATTAATATACCTAATCTAAAAGTTATAACAATTGAAGAACATAGGTACAATAATTATAATAGGTATAATACAACCATCTGAAAACCACTGCGCATACGTACGGCGCCTGTTAGTTAGTGCGCATCGATACGATCACCTGTTAACTGCGCATAACCGATTTCTTCCCGAGAAAGGTGAACAACTCGAATTTTTGCACTATAACTTAAGGACTTCGTTATCTTATGTTCGCTTAAATCATGAAGTTTAATCCTTAATCTATTTTTAAATTATTTCTAAAAAAATTGTTTGTTAATTGTAAAACAATAGGTATATATTTTTTTATAATAAACATTTGAAAAAATATTTTATTTTTAATTTAAAAAATCCGGCCACAATCCGGCCGTTGTTGCCGGATCAGTTTAAAAATTTGGCCGGAGCCGGATTTGCTGCCGCATAGGCCGGATCGGCCGGAGGCAGTAGGTGGGCAGTAACTCCGGTGCATCCCTAGTAGTTACCTTCAGAATACAGAAAAGGGATGAGGAATCCGAGAAAGAAATATATGAATTATATGATATTTACAAAAACGAAATAAAAAAATTACCTAAAACAGCAGTTTATCTTTAAATTCCATGTCCATGGAATAACTATGGTCCATGTGTCCAATTACCATATAAAATGTCCAATTACTATACTTTTTTGCATGTTTTTATAAAACTAATATTAAAAATTCAAAAATTCTTATTTTTAAGTAAACGTAAATAAAGTTTAAACAAACAAACTATTAAGTCGTTTTTTCGCGTAAATACTAGGTAATACTACGGTTAAATAAGTCATGACGTCACAGTTAATTCATATAACCATGGTTAGGTTTCTAACATTTGACATTTGTTTACTTGTTCCTAACCTATAATTTTTGAAATATGTTTTTACCTATTTATATTTTTCTATGCTTTTACCGGTGTAAATAAATTTCTTTGCCTCTTCTTATACCTAGTATATTCTTTTTCTATAGGTACTAGTTTTTTCAATACACGTTGTCCATTCTCCTACATGTTTAATACAAAATAAGGAAGAATATAAAACAAACCTGCATATAATTCCTCCACTTGTGGAGATTCCACAATTTGGAACACCCTATCATTTATTTTTACTGACAACACCCAGGTAAACGGGCCTGTTTACAATTTTAATACAAAGTTTAAATTCGGTTTAAGAGCAATTGTACCTACTTAAAATATTTTAAATTTCAAATGTAAACAACTTTTTGACAGATCGAAACAGAAAAATATATATTAAACAGAGAAAGACTATTAACCACGTTGATTAACTAGCTCAGCGATATAGTTTTATGGTCTGGTATTTGTGACGTCATACTTAGGATTTTTGAACGCACTTTAAACGCAAAAATGCCTTAACTATTAACCAAGGTTAAGTTTAATAACCATAGTATTTCATGGTATTTACGCGAAAAAACGACTTTAGTGTTAACCTAAGGTGACCAACTGTGTAAAGTGGAAAACCAGAACAGCGGTGGCCTGTAGGAATTTTTTTTAGAAAAAGAGGTGTTGCCCTATTTTTGCCTGTTTTTTGTGCAGCTACCTGTGTTAGGTTATTTTTATTTACTCTCAATTGAGTTAAAAAAACACAAATTTCATAATAGTTGTTTTATATATGGGTCGTTCCACGCCCTATCCGTCACTTTTGAACCCGACCCTTTCGATTTGGCTGAAATTATGTTATATTTTTCACCCCACTAAATTTTTTTCTTTGAATGTTTTAGTTTTTTTCACCCGACCAAAAAGATGTCTTTTTTCCAAAACTTTTTTGTATTTTTTTCTGAAAAGTTCATTCAAAACCAAAAAAAACGCCCCATTTAGTCAAATTTTGACAAATTTATGTGTATTTTAAAAGAAAATTGGCATTTTTTTTGAAAATTCATAACTTTTTTTGGGTAAAAATATTGGAAAAATTCTGAGAAACTTTTTTAGCGGGGTAGAAAAAAATTTAAAAAGTTCAGTCAAATCGAAAGCTAAATCAGAACAGACCAGAACCAAAATAGGAAAATCAGAACCTTTACTACCTTCGATTTCCTGTCAGAAAGAAGACCTCAAAAACAGTATAGTTCTGATTAAATCAGAACAGTTGGTCAACTTATGTTAAACTGAACTGCAGTTCCATGGAACTTTTGAGTGTGGAGCTTGGTACAAAAACGTGGAGCTTGGTACAAAAACGTGCCGTATAGTTGTGGGCGTGGTTTAAGCACACTCGATTTTTGACTGACCAATTACAATTCGTTTAATTTGATTTAAGTACGTCATGAGAAAGCACCGACCAGAAACTGGAGCATATATGACACTGTTAGGGATTTCTTAATCAATTGATTAAGATATCCTTAACAGTGTTGTATATTAATAATGACCCGCTTTTTCAACGGAGTTGACTATCCTAGTCATAAGTATCCTTGATTTAAAAATATTTAAAAAACAATTTTATTCATATTTGTGTCTTTAAAAACCGTAAAGAATCAACCATTATAATAAAAAAATAATACACTTACCTAGGTAACAGCTGTCATAATTAATTAAGTTTGTCAGTTATTCATTTTAACCAGTCTCGTTCTCAACCTAGGTACCTATATAAATTTCAAAATCTCTTTAAAGTGTAAAAGTTAAAATATTTACATTTAAAGCCATTTCCCCTTATTTTCAAAATTTCTTGCACTTGAAAAACACAGGTTCAAATACACAAAATACAGACCTATTTAACACAAATTTATAAAACAAGAAATAGGCATTTGATATACCTACATATACCTATATACCTTTTTTTATATACCTATATACCTTTTTTTATATAGGTGGTCCGCAAAATGTCATTTTGTTTGTTATTTTAAAATAACCGGCTTAGGATCTTACAACCAAATTTCACCACTTTATATAACACTCTTTACTCTTATTCAAAACGTTGATGATCAATGCTCAAACACTAAATTCAAACGTAATATTTACAATAAAATCTACTTTTTTTCTAGTATCATACTAGTAGTATGGCACACAGAACATAAGACATAAGGTATGGCACCATGACTTGACATTCTTCTTCTTCGTACATGCACTGATCATGACTTGCTGATCGTTTTTTGTTTTGAATTTGACACTAATCAACACAGAACACAATAATCAAACTTTTTTTTAGTGTCGTAAATTGTTTTTGTAATTATTAAAGTGTCTTATTTTGTTTTTTTTGTTCGCGTTTGAAAACTTTTGTATATTGTGCATGATTTGTAAACGACAGAGTAAACACGCTGTTTTTATAATACAGAATCTGTATTACAGATTCATCATTTGTATATTATACACAAAAATGTTTTATGGAAAACCTCCAAATTTTAAAAAACGCCTGTAGGTTAGGCATGTAAATATGTGTATTAATGATTGCATAAAATATTTACCTAAACATTATTTTGTTATTTTTAATCCGTAAAATGGTTTAAAACAACAAATTAATCAAACGCAAATTATTAAATCAAGGTCTTTATATTAATTTGTTGTGTTTGAAAGTTTACAGTGAAACGCAAAAATCCCTAAAACGCAAAATTCACCAGACAGGACAAACGTCATAACAAAAATAAACATGGAAGGTTGTTTAGCTGTTGAAAAAGAAGTTGATCGTGTGTTTTCTAAATTCGGCGGCATAAATGATCACGCACAGAGGGTTTTAACCGAATTGACAACGCAAATAGAGGCTCTTAAAGACGAATTAGCAAAAGGTAAGTAATATATTGAGGTCATTAATTTGAACAAAGAGGGATATTTTTATTGCCCAGTTATTTTAGGCTTTTTTAAGTGCCTCGTGTTGCTTTTTAATGTTTTAAGGGATATTTTGCTTTAATATTAAAGGATGTTGCAAATTCATCATTTTCTAGCTTGGTATTAATAGGTTTTAACAGCAATTTTCTAAAAGTTCTTAATATGCTCAAATAAGGTAAAATACTACATGATCAGGAAAAATATTTACCTGGTATAATTACATTGCTTGTAGTAAAACCTTATTTTTATATTTCTAACATTTAATTTTTTAGCTCCTGATAATCATGTGCTGACAAACGTCCAAGTGGATTTATTAAAAAATGTGCTCACAAAAAGTAAAGATACGGTTTCTAGACTTGCCACTGATCATAGAGATTTACACAGTACTGTTTCAAAAGTTGGTAAAGCAATAGACAGAAATTTTGTGTCTGATTTTGCTGCCACAACCAGAGACCATGTATTTTCTTCACCCAAAAACATAAAATTAATAAACAAAGTCATTTGCCAACATTATTTCCGACAAGGAATGCACGAAGTGGCTGAAGCCGTAGCCAATGATGGTAGCATATCTCCCGAAGTGGTTACTCGAGAACCATTCACAGAGCTAAATCACATACTCGACTGTCTAAAAAATAACGATTTAGAACCGGCCTTGGCCTGGGCTACAGTGCATCACGACGAACTGGAAGAACACAATTCCTCCTTGGAATTTATGTTGCATAGGTTAAGATTTATCGAGATTATACGCAAAGGTTCGGATCATCAGAATGAAGCTATTTGCTATGCAAGGAACCATTTTGGCAAATTTGTTCATAGACACCAAAAAGGTAGGTAGCCTGACATTTTATTTTTGGTCTAACAAGGGCAAAACTGATACACCTAAAAATCAATTTAAATATTGTTAAACTTATACTGTCTAAAAAGTGGTCATTTTGTTTTTTTCATTTAAAAACAAATTAAAGGGGGTCCTAAGGAAATACCAAAAATTTTGGAAAAAACAACAGTCAAAATTTGATTGTTTTCTATTTATATTTCAAAATCTTAGCTATCCTTTGTGCATTATTTTTTTTTCAGAGATCTGTTTAGTAGAATAATAATAGATGGCGCGTATAAAAATCGTAGATTAGGCAATAAAGAGGTTAAAAGCATTAAAAACTTCTTATTTAATGTAAAACTCACTTCTAACTTGGACTGTTTCCATTTTTTGAATTTAGGCGCATGCGTGGCTTATGGCACGCCGTTTTAACATTTATTAAATTTTTTAATTTAAAATTTTATTGGTTTAAAATTTTCCTAACTAAAAATTTTAGGTTTACATTTATAAATTCAAAATATTTTCAACTATCATGTATTGAAAGACAAAATTTACTAAATAACAGTTCACTTTTGTATTAAACAATATTATTTTCTATCAATTTTTGCAAAAATTTTCACTATCATTTTTTAATAAAAATAATTTCCCAATCATAATTAATTTATATAGGTGGCATTTTGTACACCTAAATAAATATTTTATAGAATTATTGGGATTAATTTGGTAAAGTTAAATTTTTTGGTATTTAAAAATGGTATCAAGCCATTTAAAATAAAACACATATAAAAAAATTTCTACCAAAATAGTTTAAAAAGTTAAATTTTTGTAAACTCAAAACTATTGATAATCAAAAACTATTTTAAATATAAAATGCAAATGTAAAAGTATAAGTTAAAAATTTGGATTTTTAAAAAATGGAATTTTAATTTGTTATTCTTCAAAATTATCGGTTTGAATTTTTAAAGAATCATTTAAATGATAGTCGATAAATTTTCAATACGAAAATTTAAACATTACATTTAAATGTTTTAAATTTTAAAGTGGTAATTTTTGCATTAAAAATTTATTGACCATCATTTAAATGACTCTTTACTAATTTAAACCGATAATTTTTATTTTTAACAATTTTAAATTGATACATTTTTAAAACAAAATTTATAACTTTACATTTAAATGTAAGTTGATAATTTTTAAATTACAAAGTGTAAACGTAGCTTAAGTAGAAGGCACCGTAGTGCCGTTTATAGAATCCCGTACGGGATTGTATTGTTCATCTTCTACGGGAGGAAGGAAGGAAGGCAATCTATAAATCAGGCTTAACACTTAACCTCACCACAAAAGCGGTAAAGCGGGAATTTGTATGATGCATCCACGTAATATATTTAAAAAAAATTCTCTTAAAAATTAGAAAAAATGTTTTTTAATTGTCAAATTAACTTTGTACAATAGGCACTAAAAATGGTGTTTTTCTATTATTAAATTTATTTAATAAATAAACATTTCAATACGATAAATTCTAAAACGCGTCAAATATTTAATATGTAGAAACAATTATATACCTAGAGTTTACAGTAACCTTATATGACCATGGCGATTTTATAAAACCTTGTTAAACTCTTATATAATTTGACAACTCTTATATAACCTTTATATAATTTATCGTTACCATAAGTAGCACAAATTTTTTATTGGGTAATATACTTATTACCAATTTTTAGATGTTCAAATACTGATGGGTATGTTTTTGTACATCCCAAACGGGATAAACTGTTCACCGTACAGTTCTGTTCTTGAAAGGGAGATGTGGATAGAAATCTACGAAATGTTTTGCAAGGATGCCTGTAGTATACTGGGTGTTTCCGTAAATAGTCCTCTCACCACATGCATTAATTCTGGTTGCACTGCCATACCTGCCCTCCTCAATATTAAACAAGTCATGATGCAGAGACAAGTTACTGGAATTTGGAATGGAAAGGATGAATTGCCAGTAAGTCTTGTTTTGAAGACGTGAAGTACCAAATTTTAAAGTTTCTCTACAAAATCGTTTCTTATTGCAGATTGAAATTGACCTAGGAAATGATAGCAGATATCACTCAATGTTTGCTTGCCCCATATTGAGACAGCAATCCACCCCGAATAATCCGCCTATGAGATTAATATGTGGTCATGTGATATCCAGAGATGCATTAAATAAATTGTGTAATGGAAACAAGTAAGTGTATTTTTATTAGGGTCATTTTCAAGAAACACCCGCTTTCAGGAAAATTAAGATCAAAATTTTTTTGCTTAAATTGACTTGGTTGGATTTTTATAAATGTTTACAGTTTTATTTACTTACATTTAAGACAGGCAGTGCACTATTAAATTTTTTTTTACGTTTTTTTCATATCCAAAATTTAATTCAATAAAAAAAGTTATTATAAAAATAATTTAGAATAAAATGTACTTAGTTCACAAATTTTTGACTCCAATTTTATTTTTTATTAAAAATTGTATGCCTTTTAAAATATTTATTCCGATTCTTTGATAAAAACAATACCATTAATATTTTCTTTTAGTCACTGTATTAGTGAGTTAAACTCTAATTAATAAACAGGTATTACCAAGTGATAGTAAAATCATTTTAAGGATTTTTTTTTAACAAAAACTAAAAAAAGTAACGAAATAGACATTGGTATCACAACGGACTGGGGTACACACTTAATCAGATAACGTAAAAAATAAACTATATAGGGTGGTACGATTTTAGAGTAATGCATAAACAAAATCCCTTGTAGTGGTGCTCACTTGCAGAATAACAACTTAGATTTCTAAATTATAGACACCCTTTTTCTTTGACTATAAGCTGGTGTCTTTTAGTACTTGTATATTGCGTGGAATTTTCCCTTGGATGTAATCTATATCATGAGTTGTAATCACAAATAATTTTAAATTGGTTTATCATAAACTACTTTTAATAAAAGCGACGGTAAATATCCACTTTGTTGTCGAAAAATTCTATTGCGTTACCATAAACTCCATTGCGTTACCATAAGGTAACGTAATGGACTCGGTAACGCAGTGGACAAAGTTTTGTGAAACCATATTTAAAAAATAATAATAAAACATTACAGTCATTAATTACTCTCAATGAGCTTTAGTGCCCTAAAATAAACATAAACACGAAAAATAGTATTTTTTCTTACCTTATTTTTATTATTTTTTTGAGTAACTTAGCGGACAAACAATTATTACATTCGCGTTACCCGCACCTGTTTCAACCGATATCTTCTCCCTGATTGAATAAATAAATTCAGCTGGGTAATGTGTACGTCCGAACATCATTTGTTGATCACGTGAGTGCCAAAAAAGTTGCCATATATGTTTTTTTAAATATTCTATCGGTAACGCGACGGACGTAACGCAACGGAAAAAATGTCTGGGGCATGAGTCAAATTTAAAAAAGTAGATTAAAATTAATTAATTTATATATAAATTGTTTACTTTATTAACCAATGATGTTATGGATTGCTATAATGCAACACAAAGTTCTGGTTATTCAATATTTAAAAAAAAAACATGTATGTAAGTTTTATAAAACGCTAATGGGACATGCGAAAATGTGTGTTCCACAAGTTTCAAAACAAAAAAAAAATTATTCTGAAATAACTAAACAAACATTTTCTGAAAGAGGGCTAAGGGCTTGTTAGGCTTTCACTTGGTTTTTAAATCAATAAGATCCGATAATTTTTAACAAAGTTATTGGAATTCAAACTTACGGACAGCGGAAGGCGGGTGTTTTTTGAAAACGACCCATTAACAAAAAAAAACAATAAACTATTAATTTTTTTTTAGGATGAAGTGTCCCTATTGTCCTATAGAACAAACGCCTGGAGATGCCAGATTGATATTTTTTTAATAAATATTTTAATAATAATACTGTTACTTATGTATATAGATTGTTTTTCTAAGATTGAGGTTTTTAAGAAATTTTCTTGGTTTGTGTTCTATTGTGATCTCTACTTACTATAGGTATAGGACTTTAATAGCAGTTTTATGTAATGCAGAAAGGATGGCCAATATTTGGGCATTGGGCCAACAAATATCGACCATCCCTTCTGCATATGGCCATAAATTTGTTTAATAGCCCAGTCACCATAAAAAATGGATATTTTGTTATCAAACGCTTTATTTTGTACGTTAAATAATTATGATAAAATATGAGTTGATTTTTTAAAATAATTGTCTAGTTTTTTTCGTTTTAAATAATATACAAGGTGTCCCGAAAATGCGCCACTAACGCGAAAGAATAAAAAAACGGTTATTTTGGAAACAAAATGTTTGTATATCTTTTTAAACATTTTGTTAAACAGTGACATTGTTTTTTGTTTTAAAACTCTTATAAATACATATTTTAATTCATTAGTTTTCACAGAATTTATTTAAGAAGTTGCGTTAAAATTTCAACACAATAAAGTAGATACCTAAAACTTAAAATTTTTGTTAAAATCGGACAAAAATTTGGCTTAATTTTATTTTCTTAAAAACATTATATTTCAGTTTTTACAATAACTTAAAAGAAGAGCAAAATAATTTTTGAAATTAGCGCACCAAATATACCCTGGAAATGTTTACCATGCAAAATGGTTTGCAAAAAAATAAATTGCTTTCAAAATATTTTAATGAAGATTATAAGATTATAAAATATATAAAATTATTTTATTTTATTTGATATGGAGTAAAAAACCATAGAATCGCTGCAATAAGTTTTCTTTTGTCAAAAATATTATTTTTTATTTTCAATTTTGATCATTTTGTATTTGCAATTATTTTTTATACTTTCCATCTTTTTATAATAATAAATATTATCAATTTTTTTATATATGGCGTTAGTCTTCCATTTTTGACCCTGTAAATTATATTTGAAATCATTGGAAAAAATTAAACAAAACAAATTAGGTGGGGCTTGTCCAATAGAGCAGAAACACTGCTTTTATTGGTGGCCTTAAAAGTTAAATAACTCCTTTAATTTTGCGAATTCTATAAAATGGTAAAGGCAAATTTTACCTATACCCTTTGGGCGGCAAATTTTGGGACACCCTGTATTTTAAACGTAACATACAGAATACTATATGTTTTCTCTTAAATGCTTAAAATAACTGGACTATAGTATAACAAATTTATATATTGTATTTAACCAATATGTATGTGTAAACTGCAAACGGTAGGGCATCAAAAAAACACGGATTAAAATAAATAATTTAAAATTTATTTAATTTTTCACTAAATACATGAAAAAATCACATAATTTTAAGTTAATAATTAATTATAACTTGGTTATTCCTAACACAGACATCTGTTTAAAAGGTAACTGGGGGTATTGTCCTGTTTATTACCCTAGGGAAGGATCTATTCTACGTTGCTGTAACACAAAAAAACTCATAACAAGGTGCACAAAGTAATCAAAAAAAATTAGTAAACATTTCCCATCCTGCATTTTAAATAAATAAAATTAACGTTAAAAGCAAATTTTTTAATATGGGTTAGTTCTGAGGCGCACCCAAAATGGGTGTTTTACTTTCATGCGACCCCTTATCAAGTGATGACCTTAGCTTTTTGTAGGGGCTGTTTTCGAGAACATATCGGGAAAACGCCCTGTAAGACATGCAGACTACATTAACTGTAAAAGCCCCATTTAAAAAACGTCACATTGCTACTTGAATTAAAAAAACAATACAAAGCAATCCATAATTTTTTAGAATAAAAAAAATATTTTACAGTTGAATGGGCACCCAAAACACCAAGTTAGTACAGACAACACAATGCGTTAATACCGTTATTTTATTAGCATTTGACAAAATAATATTTTTGTTTAAAGTCAAAAGTAACCTTTTATACGTAAAAAAAATATTTTAAAACTCGACAAAAAGGCTATCTTGGACTCTTCCCGCCCCTTTTAGCGGAACAGTGCGTAATTATTGTGTGGGAAGCATTGCAAAAAATACATTGCTTTCAAAATGTTTTAATGAATATTATATGATTATAAAATATATCAAATTATTTTAATACATAAAATTTTGATATGGAGTAAAAAAACCATACAATTGCTGCAATAAGTTTTCTTTTGTCAAAAATATTATTTTTGTTTTCAATTTTTACAATTTTCTTTTATGGAAAAAAGAAAATTTACTTTTTGCAATTATTTTTTATACTTTCTTTTTATAATAAAAAATTTAATTTTTTTTATATATGGCGTTTGTCTTCCATTTTTGACCCTGTAAATTATATTTGAGATTATTGGGAAAAATTAAACAAAACAAATTAGGTGGAGTTGTCCAATAGAGCAGAAACACTGCTTTTATTGGTGGCCTTAAAAGTTAAATAACTCCTTCAATTTTGCGAATTCTAAAAAATGGTAAAGGCAAATTTTGGGACACCCTGTATTTTAAACGTAACATACAGAATACCCAACTATATGTTTTCTCGTAAATGCTTAAAAAATAACTGGACTATAATATAACAAATTTATATATTGTATTTAACCAATATGTATGTGTAAACTGCAAACGGTAGGGCAACAAAAAATTTAAATTTATTTAATTTTTCACTAAATACATGAAAAAATCACATAATTTTAAGTTAATAATTAATTATAACTTGGTTATTCCTAACACAGACATCTGTTTAAAAGGTAACTGGGGGTATTGTCCTGTTTATTACCCTAGGGAAGGATCTATTCTACGTTGCTGTAACACAAAAAAACTCATAACAAGGTGCACAAAGTAATCAAAAAAAATTAGTAAACATTTCCCATCCTGTATTTTAAATGAATAAAATTAACGTTGAAAGCAAATTTATCAATATGGGTTAGTTCTGAGGCGCACACAAAATGGGTGTTTTACTTTCATGCGACCCCTTATCAAGTGATGACCTTAGATTTTTGTGGGCGCTGTTTTCGAGAACAATATCGGGAAAACGCCCTGTAAGACATGCAGACTACATTAACTGTAAAAGCCCATTTAAAAAACGTTACATTGCTGCTTAGATAAAAAAAACAATACAAGCAATCCATAATTGTTAAGAATAAAAAAAACATTTTACAGTTGAATAGGCACCCAAAACACCAAGTTAGTACAGACAACACAATGCGTTAATACCGTTATTTTATTAGCATTTGACAAAATAATATTTTTGTTTAAAGTCAAAAGTAACCTTTTATACGTAAAAAAATATTTTAATACACGACAAAAAGGCTATCTTGGACTTTACCCGCCCTTTTTAGCGGAACAGTGCGTAATTATTGTGTGGAAAGCATTGCAAAAAATACATTGCTTTCAAAATGTTTTAATGAAGATTATATGATTATAAAATAGGGTAAAACACCCAATAGTTGGCAGGTACCCAGTTATTGGCAACGAGGAAAAATAAATCATTTTATAAGCAAATTTCCATATTAAGTTTTATACGTACTTACATTTTTATAACCAGGGGCAACAGCACCATCCCTTGAATGTCAATCAGGTTTGACATTACTCAATGTTTTAATGTAAACGTTATCGAAAAATTGCCCACCTTTCGCGCGGCAAAAAATCGCCATTTTGGTAGTAATTGGTAAATTTTAAATACTTATTTTTTGCCTTAATAATGCATGTTAATAAAAGTTAAACAATTTGTTATATATTTAGAGTCATTATACAAAATTTTAACAATTTTTTATTTAATTATTTTACTTTTAAAAGTGAATTTTCAATATGCCCACTACTGGGTATCATATTTTAGTGCAAACCAATTATTGGCATTACTGCCAATAACTAAATTACTTGAAATTTGACCTGTACTAATTATTGGCGATTGATTATTTTTTACCAAATATTGAAAAAAAATATAGCTAATACAAAAATAAGAAATCATATAAACAAAAATCAACCGACATTTTTTCTTCAACTGAACCAAGTACCTATCAATAATGTGATATGCAACAAAGGACTTTGTGTCTCATGTACCAAAAATTTCTCTTTGTTAACTTATGGCATACGGTGTCAGACTTGTACAAAATCATACCATGAAAAGTGTTTAAAAAAACATGGTAACTACAAAAAATTTTATAAATGCAAAGTTTGCAAGGCTTTGGAGGCGTTTAAAATTAAACTAAATTAACAATATTTTATCTTGGTTTGTTAGGATTAATTGCCTATTTTGTATCATTTTAGTGAGCAGTTGTTTAGAACCATTTTCTTAGTTTTTTCGTTTATTTATTTTGTACATAACTTAGCTAATCAAAAAAATAAAGAATCAATTTATATTTTACTTAAACCTTTCAGAAAAAAAAAATTCGTAATTAAAAAATAGAATTTGGAAAATGGTTAATAGTTGGATCCAGTTACATGCCAATGACTAGGATAAGCGTCAATTACTGCATTTTATCTTTTGCCAAACACTGGGACTTGATGCCAATAATACGTTAAGTTATAATGCCAATGACTAGAGATATCTGCCAATGACTGGAAAAGTTACATAAAATAAAAAAAATATATTTTTTTTACTTATAAAACTTATTTTTGAGTTATGTTTTGTTTGAAAACTATAAAAGAATCTTTAAAGACTTTCCATTTAAAGGGATAATTAGGTTGCTTTACTTTTAGTTACATAAAAACTACAAATATTCTGATAAGCTGCTTAAGGTGCCAATAACTGGGTGTTTTACCCTATATCAAATTATTTTAATACATAAAATTTTGATATGGAGTAAAAACACCATACAATCACTGCAATAAGTTTTCTTTTGTCAAAAATATATTTTATTTTCAATTTTTACCATTTTGTTTTATAGAAAAAAGAAAATTTACTTTTTGCAATTATTTTTTATACTTTCCATCTTTTTATAATAATAATTATTATCATTTGTTTTTATATATGGCGTTAGTCTTCCATTTTTGACCCTGTAAATTATATTTGAGATCATTGAAAAAAATTAAACAAAACGAATTATGTGGGGCTTGTCCCATAGAGCAGAAACACTGCTTTTATTGGTGGCCTTAAAAGTAAAATAACTCCTTTAATTTTGCGAATTCTAAAAAATGGTAAAGGCAAATTTTACCTATACCCTTTGGGCGGCAAATTTTGGGACACCCTATATTTTAAACGCAACATACAGAATACCCAACTATATGTTTTCTCTTAAATGTTAAAAATAACTGGACTATAATATAACAAATTTATATATTGTATTTAACCAATATGTATGTGTAAACAGCAAACGGTAGGGCAACAAAAAAAACACGGATTAAAATAAATAATTTAAAATTTATTTAATTTTTCACTAAATACATGAAAAAATCACATAATTTTAAGTTAATAATTAATTATAACTTGGTTATTCCTAACACAGACATCTGTTTAAAAGGTAACTGGGGGTATTGTCCTGTTTATTACCCTAGGGAAGGATCTATTCTACGTTGCTGTAACACAAAAAAACTCATAACAAGGTGCACAGAGTAATCAAAAAAAAATTAGTAAACATTTCCCATCCTGTATTTTAAATGAATAAAATTGACGTTGAAAGCAATTTTTTTAATATGGGTTAGTTCTGAGGCGCACGCAAAATGGGTGTTTTTACTTTCATGCGACCCCTTATCAAGTGATGACCTTAGATTTTTGTGGGCGCTGTTTTCGAGAACACTATCGGGAAAACGCCCTGTAAGACATGCAGACTACATTAACTGTAAAAGCCCATTTAAAAAACGTTACATTGCTGCTTGGATTAAAAAACAATACAAAGCAATCCATAATTTTAAAGAATAAAAAAATATTTTACAGTTGAATGGGCACCCAAAACACCAAGTTAGTACAGACAACACAATGCGTTAATACCGTTATTTTATTAGCATTTGACAAAATAATATTTTTGTTTAAAGTCAAAAGTAACCTTTTATACGTAAAAAAATATTTTAAAACTCGACAAAAAGGCTATCTTGGACTTTACCCGCCCCTTTTAGCGGAACATTGCGTGATTATTGTGTGGGAAGCGGTTTTTAGGATGTTCCGCTTATGATATCTTCGTTTTGTGATACGTACACGATGCGCATGGTGTTTGTGAACCCGGAGCCTTGCTTCCAGCCGGTGATGACGATCACCGGGTCTCCGGACTTGATGAAGCCCTTCTTCTTACCCACATCGATACCGGCCTTTACGCGGGCGTCGACGTCCTTCAACCAGTCTTCCATGCGAGCGCCTGAAAAATTTTAGTAAAGAATGTTAAACATTTTTTAAAGAAAAATTGCTGTTTTAGGTAATTTTTTTATTTCGTTTTTGTAAGTATCATATAATTCATATATTTCTTTCTCGGATTCCTCATCCCTTTTCTGGATTCTGAAGGTAACTACTAATTCCTTGGTCTGACTTCTGAAATAGTTTGTTGCAAATATCATTAAGTGTGGTATCTCTAGTTTGTGAAGCATTTATAATGTTTAGGCCGGAACAGGATGATTTATATATATATCTAATATTTTTTCGTGTGGTCTGTTAAAAGTATTTCCGAATTTATTAATTTTGTTGCCATTAGTTTTTTATTTTCTCTATTATGCACTGCATTTAAATCACTGTTACATTGCAAGATGTCCTGTGACGAAGAAATCACTATATTACTTACTCTCTAAAAATGAATTAGTCAAAAAGCTCTTAGCGAAAAAGCAGCCACTAATAATTCTCGTCCACAGCAATTTGTATCAAAAGATTTTGAAATATAATCAAATTCAAATTCAAAATCAATTTTACATACAATATGAAATTGACTATATCTCAAAAACTGCTTAACTTTTATAGTTTTTGACGGTCTTTTCGGATTCAGGCGACAATTTTACATAAGAATTGGCTGGTAAATGCCCGGGATATAAATAATTAGATTATGATATTGGACATCTGTATAATAGAAATTTACATTTTTTACCAACCAATAATTCAACACTGGTCATTGTACTGTTTGTTTTCTGAATTAAAATTAAAACTCATTAAATAAACAATGTTTAAACCATGAAGAACGCATTTATACCACACACTGATCTGTATACTTTTTAGAAATATTTTTTATTGTAATTTAAACACAGCCCTGCTCAAAAAAACAAACATCTTACCACCAAAGTAACGTGCGAACTTTTTTGTCCTATATTGGACCCAAAATAAAGTAGTTCTATATTATTACCGACTGAGATAGTTATAATTGTATACAGCGTCATCTAATGATTTGACTTTAAGGTACAAGTTCGCACGTTACTTTGGTGCTAAGATTTTTGTTTTTCTGTTAAGAGCAGGGCTGGGTTTAAATTACAATAAAAAATATTTCTAAAAAGTGTACAGATCAGTGTGTGGTATAAATGTGTTCCTCATGGTTTAAACATTGACACTTCGACACTGCGTTTTAATTTTAATTCTGAAAACAAAAACAGTAAAATGGCCAGTGTCCAATTACTGGGTGGTAAAAAATGTAAATCTCTATTATTGGACAATATCATATTCTATTTATATCCCGGACATTTACCAGCCAATTCTTATGTAAAATTGTCACCTGAATCCGAAAAGACCGTCAAAAACTATAAAAGTTAAGCTGTTTTTGAGATAATATCTCAATTCCATATTATATGTAAAATTGATTATATTTTAAAAACTGTTATATTTTTACAACTTTTGACGACATTTTCGGATTCAGCGAATAATATTTCATAGGAATTGACTGCTAAATGTCCTGGATACAAATTGCTGTTGACGAGAATTATTAGTGGCTGCTTTTTCGCTATGACATTTTTGACTAATTCATTTTTTCTTCGTCACAGGACATCTTGCAGAATAACAGTGATTTAAATACAGTGCATGATAGAGAACATAAAAACTAATGGCAACAAAATTAATAAATTCGGAAATTACTTTTAACATACCACCCGAAAAAATATTAGATAAATATAAATCATCCTGTTCCCGCCTAAACATTATAAATGCTTCATAAACTATAGTTTATAGAGATACCACACTTAATGATATTTGCAACAAACTATTTCAGAAGTCAGACAAAGGAATTAGTAGTTACCTTCAGAATAAAGAAAAGGGATGTGGAATCCGAGAAAGGAATATATGAATTATATGATATTTACAAAAACAAAATAATAAAATTACCTAAAACAGCAATTTATCTTCGCTATTTTTGATTTTTAGTCATAATTTGAAGTTAGAACTGTCAAAACATTGAAGTGCAAAAAATTTCTTTTCACTTATTTTGATATAAAATTAAATTCTCTACAAAAAAGGTCTGACGAGCCGTTTCCGAGTAATTGAGCTTAATAAATCGATGTATTTTTTCGATTTGCCCTTTTAACTTTGAAATTTTGTAACTAATGAACCAATGAATATTTAAGAAAGCTTACGTCGGATTCTTAAAGGAAATTTCATGTTCTTCAAAAACGGTCTCTTAACATTTTTGCCTAAATTTAATTCTTCAAAAGTTATTCACGATTAAAATCGAAGAAAAACTTAAAATTTCAATTTTTTCTTCGTGAATAACTTTTGAAGAATTAAATTTAGGCAAAAATGTTAAGAGACCTTTTTTGTAGAACATTAAATTTCCTTTAAGAATCCGACGTGAGCTTTTTTAAATATTCATTGATTCATTAGTTACAAAATTTCAAAGTAAAAAGGGCAAATCGAAAAAACACATCGATTTATTAAGCTCAATTACTCGGAAACTGCTCGTCTGACGAAAATTTTCAATCAGACCTTTTTTGTAGAGAATTTAATTTTATATAAAAATAAGTTAAAAGGAATTTTTTTCACTTCAATGTTTTGACAGTTCTAACGTAAAACATCAAATTATGACTAAAAATCCAAAATAGCGATGATAGACTTCTTAAAATTAATTAATAAGGGCTCAAATTTTCACCAAACTTTTTTTTGTCATTCTGAATGACATTCTCGATATATTTTTCAAAAAAACATAGTCAATTTTTTTGGCCCAGTCTAATGTTTATATGAAAATTGTATGTCCAATAACTATGGTCCATGTGTCGAATTATTATATAAAATGTCCAATTACTATACTTTTTTGCATGTTTTTATAAAACTGATGTTAAAAATTCAAATTGTTTAAGTAAACTTTAATCTTGAAAGTATTATCTAATAAATGTTAAAACGGCGTGCCACAGACGTCTCAGATTAAAATCATCGTGGAAGAATCAGCGGAAAATATTTTTTTTACTTAAAACAAGTACTTACTTTCGTAGATGATGGGCAAAATGGCCCTGTACAGGTGCGACTGCCTGGCCGTCTGCGAGTTCCTGGTGACCGCGATGATCGGACACCTCGGCTTGTACTTGGAGAGCAGGTGCGCCGACTTGCCGGAGGTGGTGATGACGATGATGGCGGCCGCCTGGCACTTGGAGGAGGCGTCGACGGCGGCGATGGCGATCGAGTGCTGCGCGTCGGCGGGGATCTGCGTCTGCAGCGAGAGGTCGCTGAAGAGCTGGCGGTGCCAGACGGCCGCCTCGGCCTCCTTGCAGATGCTGGCCATGGTGCCCACGCACTCCAGCGGGTAGTCGCCTTTGGCGGTCTCTCCGGACAGCATCACGCAATCCGCGCCGTCTAAATTATTAATAATAATAATAATGTCTTTATTGATTGTAAAAAACAATTGGGTGATTCTACAAAAGTTGGACAACTTGATGTCATCAGTCAATAGACTAGGTATTTTAATATTTTTTGTAAATATTTTGGGTTTTTCAAAACTTGTCCACCAAATTTTAATGTATTTTTTCAAAAGCACGTTTCTAGAAAAACATAATAAATATTTAAAACATCAGTACCTTGCCGTGTCACAACCAGGGACCCGGACCGAAACCGAAAAAAACCGAAAACCGGAACGGAACCGGTTTTTTTTCCGAACCAAAACCGGAACCGGAACCGTTTTCGCTTTTGATAAAATCTGTTGGACCGGAACCGAAACCTTTATTTGCTTTCATTCTAATAACATTATATAACATATTAGGTTATAGATTAAAATTACGTAAAACAAATAACCTCATTTCCTCGCTTAAAACCGAAAAGAACCGAACCGTTATAACTCCACGAAACCGAAACCGGAATCGGAACCATTAAAACGAAAATAGGGTGAACCAAAACCGTACCGGAACCGATATTTCATTTCGGTCCGGGTCCCTGGTCACAACTCACGGTGGTCAAAACTAAAGTACACTCTTTTGGTAACACAAAAATGTATTTATCAAAATCCCAGCTGATCCTTTATTAAAGTTTTGCATATTTCTTAGTATTTTAAAAACTATAATAAATAACTAAAGATTCTTTGAAGCAAAATCGATTACTGCTTGCCTTAAATTTTCAGTAAAACTTTTTCTTGGGTTTTACATGGAATTGTTTTTAACATGGAAACAGTATTTTTAAATTCTTCAGTCTCTGTACAAACATGCTTCTTACATCTAGCGATATCCCCTAGAAAGGAAGAGCATATCAAAACTTTAGTTCGTTCGCCCGTCCTCTTCCCTTAATAATTTTTTATGCCCTTTATATTTTGCCATGTCGCGAAATTCTCTGGCAATTTCTAAATTTTGAAAATTTGGCAATTGTGGCTATGCAAAAATACCGTTTTTACCATATTGAAGTAGGTAATTTTGAATCACTTAAGTTAAAGTGTTCGTTTGAAAAAGTCTGCAGCAATTTTTATATTTTCTCAGAAACCCTAAACTCTGAATTTTTCGATTACCAAAAACAATTTTGTCTCCACAGCCAGCACATACCTTCTTTCGATTTTCTTCATGGCTTAACTTGAATTTTGGTTTAATTTTCATTTTAAAATACTATTTTTAACTTTATAAAGTATACATTAAATAAACAACTAAAGCAAAATGTCACTTGCGTTATAACGTATAGCAATTTTTTTCATAACCACCTTAAATATTGTTTTACAAAATTTGCAAGTTGTAATTATTTCATAGACAAACTTCCAGTATTTTTTGTTATAAAAAATATTTAAGATATAAATCTTCGTTTTTTTTGTTATGTTTTGTTTTGAGTGGTAAAAAAGAATAGGTGACTCAATAAATTAATACTGGAGTAAAGTAATTTAAATGATTCAAAGTTCATTATTTTGCTTAATTTTATTAAAATTGTACAGGTAGTTTTGGTACAATAATTGCAAAATAATATATAGAAATAGAAAAACAAAATAGTTTGCAAAACTTTAAAATAGGATCAGCTGGGATTTTGATAAATACATGTTAGTGTTACCAAAAGGGTCTATAATCAAAATATGCTATCAGTTTTGGTTGGCATTTTTGTTCATCCTATACTTAAGTTTTGACCACCGTGAACTCCTGAATAAAATATTTGAGTGATTTTATTTTAAAATATATTCAATTTTTCATATTTTATCAAAGATTCGAATAATTTGCAATTAAAAAAAAATCGATACTCTTTGTACTCACTTTTACCCGTCAGTTCTGTGTCAAATGTTAAAATTCAAAATTCCTGCGAAATATTGAAGTTTAAACGTCAAGCCCTCGTTTTAACTCTAGTGTTGGTAAAAAATTACCTTCAGAGCCCGCCCTTTGCATGACAGTAATCTTGAAAACAATGCAAGCGGCGAAGTTGTGGTGAATGCACGTATAGTTCCAGTCAAAATTTCAGGACTGTGGTGAGTAGTTATTTTCTTATGTATATAATATATATTATATTTCATTGTAATTTATATAAGGCTATATGTGATTTGTTGATAAGTAGCATCCACTAATAAAAAATATTAGTAAAATACTTAATTCCGAATTATAATCTCAAATTTGTATCCCATTCATCAGTACCGTGCCGTCAGTCCCATGTACGATGTTTCGGTTATCTTTTTTTCGCAAACTTCAATTTAAATTCTGCTTGCGCAGAACTTGTTTATTTAATGCCATTATAAAATCATATAAATTTGGTGTGGGTCCCATATCTAATAATTGAGATATCGGTATACCGATGGTATTATTTGATTTTAAGATTTTTAATGTATAATATGCTTAAAGTTGCAATAAATCTTATATTCTCCAATAAATTATGTATTTTATGTACCCTGGTATACTCGTCAAAGTTGCCCAACTTTTGATGAATCACCCACATGTATATTTACAAACAAAAATACTGTCTATTTTTATCCATATTTTATAAGTCGTTAACGACTGATATAAATTATATCAACCGATTTACATTTTAGATGATTTTATTGGCCAAAAAACAAATCTAGTAAACCATGACTTATATTAGCGAAACTATTTTCTATGGTTAAAAGCAAATGTCACAAATGTCAAATAAATCTTGATGAAAATTTAATTGTTTTATGTCCAATTTAAAATGTCAATGTATAGAAATCGATTTTTTTATGGAAAATATAAACGTTGAAAGATAATTACTCAATTTATTTTATAAAACAATAGTTTTTAAAGAAAAATACTGCGTTGCCATGTCGTGCAAAAACCTATATCCACTGATATGCGTAAATCAGTTGATATAAATAAATCAACGGCCCTAAAAGATTTGGTGTATCTTACCCAAAACGGCGTTGGCTACATCGGAACTCTCGGCGCGGGTCGGCCTGGGCTTCTTGATCATCGACTCCAGCATCTGCGTGGCGCAGATGACGGGCTTGCCGGCTTGATTGCACTTGGCGATCATGGCCTTCTGCGCCAAGAAGACCTTCTCGGTGGGGATCTCGATGCCGAGGTCGCCGCGCGCGACCATGATGCCGTCCGACGCCTTGATGATCTCGTCCAGGTTGGTCATGCCCTGCTGGTTCTCGATCTTCGAGATCACGAGGATCTTCTTGCCCTTCTCGCCCAGCACGTTGCGGATTTCCGTCAGAGCGGACCCGTTACGGATGAACGAGGCGAAGACGATGTCGACCTGCTGGTCGACGCCGAATTGCAAGTCGGACTTGTCTTTTTCGGATACGGCCGGGAGATCTACCGGAACGCCTGGCAAGTTGACGCCTGCAAAAAATACGTTCACGATTTTGTTAAATCTACAACATTTTCTATAATAGCTATTTGTATGGCACGCCGTTTTAGCATTTATTAGATAAAAGTTTAAAGATTTAAGTTTAGCACTTAAATTATGTTTTAACAGAAATTTATAAAGTTAATTTTTTTAAACTCAAAACAATTGATAGTCAACAAAATATTTTAAATATAAATGCCACAGTAACAATTTATGTTTAAAAATATTGATTTTTAAAAGTTTTGGTTGTAATATTTTATTCTGCAAAATTATTAGTTTAAATTTTAAAAGAGTCATTTAAATGATAGTTGATAAATTTTTGATACAAAAATTCTCACATTACATTTAAATGTAAGTTTTAAATTTTAAAGTAGTAATTTTTGGATTAAAAATTTATCGACAATCATTTAAATGACTCTTTACAAATTTAAACCAAAATTTATAACTTTACACATACATTTAAATGTAAGTCGATAATTTTAAAATTACAAAGTGTAAACGTAGCTTTAGTAGAATGCACAAGAGTCTGGGATCGGAGCCACGATGCAGCCAGTTTGATCCGCAGTGTGACAAAATCGTGCTTGCTCCATAAATATTTGACGCGTTTTAGAAATTATCGTATTGAAATGTTTCTTTATTAAATAAACATAATTATAGAAAAACAACATTTTTAGTGCCTATTGTACTAAGATAATTTGACAATTAAAAAACATTTTTTCTCGATTTTTATGTAAGAATGTCATATTCTCGCACGCAAAATCGTTGAAGAATGAAGCTCATTCTTAAACGATTTTTGGTAACATTTAGTTTTTAAGTATTGGTACCCCCAAAATGTGAAACTGATTAATAACCTCAAATTCATTACTTTTATTGAAAATGAAGCCTTTATTATTGTTTTTGTAATATTAAGTTTGCTCCAACAATGCATTTTAATGCAAAATTTTAAGTTGAATGTAAAAAAGTGCAGTTCAGGTTGTACTTGTGCAGGATAACAAATATTGTCATTTTGTGTTGCCAACTGACATTTTGCGAGAAAAATCCCCTAAATAACAACGACCACAAAACAATTAAAAAAACCTAAATAAAAGTTAAAATCGAGAAAATAGTATAAATCACACGTTGCAGAAGGCTATTCTCGCACTCATTCGTTCGTCCACTCGCTCCTTCGTCGCTCGAGGCCAAATTTCGAATTCGTGCGAGAATATGTGGCCTTCTGCAACTTGTACTTTAATATACTATTCTAATTTTTAAGAGAAAATTTTTTAAAATGTAGTGCCACAACCCTATATCTATAACTTATAGGTTATAGGTATATGGATGCAACATACAAATTCCCGCTTTCCGGCTGTTGTGGTGAGGTTAAGTGTTAAGCCTGATTTATAGATTGCCTTCCTTCCTTCCTCCCATAGAATATGAACAATACAATCCCGTACGGGAATCTATAAACGGCACTTGGAATTTGTATGATGCATACACGTAATATTGTGGCACCAAATTTTAAAAAATTTTCTCTTAAAAATTAGAAAAAAATTTGTTTTTTAATTGTCGAATTAACATTTCATTACCATAATTTGTAAAACCCGTCAAATATTTATGGAGCAAGCACGATTTGGCAAAACTGCGGATCAAACTGGCTGCATCGTGGCTCCGATCCCAGACTCTGGTGCCTTTTACTAAAGCTACGTTTACACTTTGTAATTTAAAAATTATCGACTTACATTTATAAGCTTAGAAGAAAAAACAACAGGAAGGAGCATTTAATAAATGACCTTGGGTCCAAAGTGGTGCTTCAATATGGCGGATAGTTGTTTCCGTTTGACAGTGGCGTAGTAAATACAATTGAAGTTTAATTTTTATAATAATTAGGTTAGTATCAGAAAATATGATACGCCTATGGTTTTTTCTATGATGGTGACGTTCTTAGGTTATGGTTATGTTCTAAGGTTACGTTATTTGACATTGATTTATGTTTAATATTTACAATTAATTATTTTAAAATATACAATAAGTAAATAAATTAAACGTTAACCAAAATACTCACCTATGAAATGTAATTGAATATTTTTTATTTTTTGTGCTCAAGGAGCAACCACAAGCTGCACAACTAACCATAATTTGTCTTTACACCTTAAACACTAATATTTATATCTTAAACTTTAAATATTTACACTCAAACGAGAATATATCAAATAAAATACTGTCTAGAAACAATGAAACGCTTATTAAAAGTTAATTTAAGCAGAAAAACAACATAAAACACCGACAAACACATAAAACATTCAACTTTGACAAATATAGCATCACAAATTTTGACACATATGTGTCAAAATTTGGTGCTTGCAAATGGCCGACTTCCGACGCAATTTTAGTACGGCTAAAGAATGACAAGACTCCTTCCTGTTGTTTTTTCTTCTAAGTTTATAAGTTATAAATTTTGTCTTAAAAATTTATCAATTTAAAATTGTTAAAAATAAAAGTTATTGGTTTAAATTTGTAAAGAGTCAATTAAATGATAGTCGATAAATTACCACTTTAAAATTTAAAACTAACATTAATGTAATGTTTAAATTTTTGTATTGAAAATTTATTGACTCATTTAAATGACTCTTTACAAATTCAAACCAATAATTTTGAAGAATAAAATATTAAAATTACATTTTTTAAAATCAATATTTTTAAACTTACAGTTGCATTTTATATTTAAAATATTTTTTGATTATCAATAGTTTTGAGTTACAAAAATTTAACTTTTTAAACTATTTTGGTAGAAAATGTTTTATATGTGTTTTTATTTTAAATGGCTTGATTCTATTTTTAAATACTAAAAAATTTAACTTTACCAAATTAATCTCAATAATTTTATAAAATATTTATTTAAGTTAACAAAATGCCACCCAAATAAATTATACTTATTAAAAAATAATATTGTTTAATACAGAAGTGAACTGTTGGTTAGTAAATTTTGTCTTTCAATACATGATAGTTGAAAATATTATAAATTTATAAATGTAAACCCAAAATTTTTAGTTGGGAAAATTTTAAACCAATAAAATTTTAAATTAAAAAAATATTTAATAAATGTTAAAACGGCGTGCCATACGAAACTCCATGTTATTTAAATGGAAAATGTATCGTCTTTGGCACGATTTAATTTGAATATTTTTTTTTAATTTTTTTTTTATATTTTTTTTAAGTCATAAACTAATAATTTAGGGGGCGCTGCGATCAAAAAACCAAGTTGGTAAATACCGGACACACTAATGCCCTATTATAATAAAATAAAAAGGTTTAGATCACAATCCACACAACAAGGTCTGTTCTATCCCATGCTAAAAATACTAAAAATCACTGCAACACTGCACAGACTTTAACGGCGGCCATTTTTGTTGTTTTCAACTCTTGTGCTTTGGGTTTGTGCTGTTTAATAATTGTTTTAAATGTTGTGTTTCTTACAGAGGCACTTGTAAGCCTCAAAAAAGGCATTTAAGTGATAAGGACAACCATTTTACTCCTCTTTTATAATAAATATACCATATTCTATCAGGGCTGTCAAATGACAATTTGAAGGTTAATTTGTGGTTTATAATTTAACCTTAAAATTCACATTTGACAGTTTTATGACAGCTCTGATAAAATAAAGTTTATTTTTACAATAGAGGAGTAAAATGGTTGTTCTTAGCACTTTAAGGACTCTTTTAAGTCTTACTATGAGGAACACAACGTTTAAAACGATTATTAATCTGTATAAACAGAGCACAAACCCAAAGCTCAAAAATTGTAAACAACAAAAATGGCCGCCGTTAAACTGTGCAGTGTTGCAGTGATTTTTTGTATTTTTAGTACGAGATAAAACAGACCTTGTTGTGTGGATTGTGGTTTAGATCATACCTTTTCTGCTTCCCAGCATGCCCCCATTCTCGATGGTGCAAGTGACGGTGGCGTCGGTTTTCGCGGTGCAAACCAGCGAAATAAGCCCGTCGTCGACGTAGATCTTGTTCCCCACGTTGACCACCTTGCTGATGTTGACGTAGTCGACGTAGATCTTACCCGCGTTACCCTTCTCCTCGAAGGACTTGTCGGTGGTCAATTCGATGGCGTCCCCCTTCTTCAGCTCCACCTCGGCCGAGCCGCCGCCCTCCAAGAGTCCGGTGCGGATCTCCGGGCCCTTGGTGTCCAGCGCGATGGCCAGCGGGTACGGCATGCCCAGCTTCTTGCTGTACATGTCCACGGCGGCGCGGATGTTCTTGATGGTGTTGGCGTGGTACTCGTGCGTGCCGTGCGAGAAGTTGAGACGCGCGATGTTCATGCCGGTCTCCATCATCTTCATCAGCGTCTCGGGGGAGTTGGAGGCGGGCCCTGGGGAAATCAGAGGGTGCGGATGTTAGGATTTTTCCAATGTTTTAATTGAACAAATTTTTATTTTAGTTATTCCTTTCAAGTGTCAGGGAAAAATTGGTGATCTCAGGAAAGACCATATTACCTGTATCGAATGTAAGAACTAAAGAAAAACTTAAAATGTTCCAAATTGTAAGCATCAAACCATTGATTTAAAAGCTCAAACCAAAACTATAATAAGTAGTAATCAAATGTCCGCTTTTTGGTTAACCCAGTCATCATAAAAAGAATATTCCATGTAGCGGCATGCATAAGACTTAAGTATTGTTAGGAGAATAATTTGGGGATTACTCCTAGCCCTATGGCCACTTATACCCAGGAACTTAACTTAACTAGCCATTATAGTTACTGAGTAGATCAGTCCCACTCTAATCATTGTTTAGCTGTGGTCTAGGGCTGTGCCATCACAGACGCACATCTCCAACTGATGTTTTTAACCTATCGGTATATATAGTTCAAGCGTGCGTAAGCAACGGTGAGAGGTATTGCAACTGTATTTGTTTATAACTTCTATTAGGATTTTTTGTAGCAATGGGGTAGTTAAATTTTTTCTGACCTATACTTTTTATGGTTTTATTTAAGGCGTTTTGTAATTTTAAACATTTCTGTGAAATCGAAATTTTAATTGAGTTTACCGTTTTTGAGATATTTACAAAACAAAATCTTCTAATGACGTCACTAGGCTATTGACAACGTTGCCAGCTTTTTCTATAGTTGCCAGTGTGTTTAGTTAAAGATTCTTGCGATAGATGGCGCCACGTTATAATATTTAAGTTGAGAAGAAGAAGAAGAATTGATTTTTTGACGTTTCTTTTTTTCGGGTTGTTTTTTTAAATTTAGATTATTGAAAATCAATGTTATTGCTATGTTATTTGTAATTGATATTAGATAAGTGATTTATTAATAACGGACTCCAAAGCAGAGGAATCTTGTGGAATGGTTGGTTACATTGAACATTGGAGCTTTTAAACAAATAAAGTAAGTACCTACCTATAATTATAATCATATTTTGTCGTAAATGCATTTCATTAGTATAATGCCTAGTTCTATATATTCTTTAAGATATATTATTATTTTTTGTAAATTTATTTCATTCATTTTCAGCTTTATTTTGCCACTTTTTTCTATGAAATATATTAAACTCTGCTTTAGACAGTTATTAGGTACCTTTTTATTACATTTTATTAGGTTTCACACGTTGTTTCAATGTGTAAACCTATCAATAAAACTTTTAATTTCAGAATTTTCTTTAACCTCCTCTTCTTCTTCTTTCACTCAACTGACAGTGACAGTATTTGTACATAACCTCTTCGGGTATTTTCTGACATAACCGAATGAAATCATTAACAAGACAACTTGACAACAGGGTAATTTTCAACCAATAGAAATCTTAGAATGTTGGTCACATGGCGGGGTTTGTGACGTCATAAAAATTTATATTTTTTGTAAATATCTCGAAAACGGCAAACTCAATTGAAATTCTGATTTCACAGAAATGTTTAATATTACAAAACGCCTTGAATAAAACCATAAAAAGTATAGGTCAGAAAAAATTTAACTACCCCATTATGTTTAATATTGGCCATTTTACCTATTTAGTAAATAAAATTAATATTTTCAATTAATTAATATTTTTAATTAATTAATATTTTGATCCCATTCTGTGACATATTTAAAGAAAATAATATATTTAATTTTTTTGAAATTAAAAAAAATAATTTGTTTAAATTTTTGATTTTTTTAGAGATGAGAAAGATGCGATCGGAAAGTTTCCATTTTAAGGAAGTTTCCAGTCGGCGAGCTTGAAATGGCCGAAATGTCAATTGTTTAACAGCCGATTTGTGCAGTTCAGGCCAAGAAACTAAATAAGGAATTAATTTATGTTAATTTAAAGAAGAAGTTTGTTGAAGATCTCTCATCACAATTCATAAATCATTTGCAAAAATCACAATCCTTTTAAAAAGTAAACAAAATAAAAACAATAAACCAAGTTAAAATCACATTTTTGTAGTTTATTTATAGGAACTTATCTTATATTTGGAATTATTACAAAATAGTGCAAAAAACACAATGCTCAATGCAAGTTCTGTAAAAAAATATATATCGTTAATGCAACCAAAATGGTCAAACATAAAAAAGTGTCTTCATGCCTCACAAGATAATATCTTATATTATAAGATTATTGGTTAGAACTGCAATACTATTTTTATTGTCTTTTACTTTTCAATATTTCTATATAGGTAGCCAATAATATTTATTTTGCAATCCCGGCATAAAAAACTCATTTCCGCAATACATTTTTTTTTACATTAGGAAATTTCCGATGGAAAGTTTCCGGGAATTTTCGTCAAATGGGAATTTTCCCATCTCTATTTTTTAATAATAAAAGTTTTATTAGTAGAAAATTCCCGAAAAAATGTTAATTTCGGAAATGAGTTTTTTGTGCCAGGATTGCAAAAATAAATAATATTGGCTACATATATAGGAATATTGAAAAGTAAAAGATACTAAAAATAGTATTGCAGTATTGGCGTATTTTGGCTTTTGTAAATTTTTAATTAAAATGTTTACAGAATATTAGAAAAGGAAGTTAATAAGTAAACAATTTTACATTTATATTTTACTTACTAAAATTCTTTAACATAGATATGATTGTATTTCTCACTAGTTTTTACTGTTTTATTTAAAAAATCGACACACATAATATATGCATGGTCTAGCGATTATCTATCTAGAGGTAAACGGTCTAAGGATTATCTATCTAGAAGTAAATTATTATTATTATTATTATTATTAAAATTGTTGTGACTAAGAAATTAAATAAAAAAAGCTGCGTTTCTAGAAAGTCACACAACAAATTGTCTACACGTAGGTACTACTAAAAGATTTTTCGATCATTCCCGATTTTCTATCAAATCCCCACAAGGCATTTTTAATGCCTAGTATTTTTAATTTAATGAGAAAGCCACACTTTTGTTATTTACACTTTATTATTCGTTGCTGACATCGCAATTTAATAAAAATATATTAGTAAACAAATAAGCGATTCGTAAAAGATTGTTTAAAATGGCAAAATAATTTATTTTAAATGGTAATGATAAAGTACTGATATGGTTATGATATATTTGGGTAATAAAGTTAGACTTTTAAAATGTTTATTCCTAGAAGAAATAAAAAACTACCTATCATGATGAAAACCTGATATGGCAAGTAAACATAATTTTTTTAAACTAAAAATATATTTTGTTGATCTCATGTTGTATAAAATTAAAAAAACAAATAACAAAACTATTAAATCATTACCCACAAACACAAAGAAAACAAGTATTATTAGATTAAATAATGCAGGAAAACGCATATAATCCTTCTGAATGTACTAACCTTTCACAAAAGGTTATACAAGTAAAGCTAAAAATACACAACCAAAATCACAAAAAAATGTGTTTGCCCAAAGATTTAACGCGATAGAACAAATCATGTTAAACATTTAACAGATTGAGTGCACCCACAAGGTCACATTGAACAATTTTCTCGCCTTACCAATTGTGCAAATGATTCCGGAAAGACGTACATAGGAGGCTCTGGAGTTAATGTTGAGGGCGCAGATGTGGTCCAATTGGGTTTTGGCATCGGCTGCTTGCAATTGCCCGGGAAGGACTTTAGAGTCAGCCATCTGAAATGAATAAAAAAAATTATAACACAATAATGAAGGTTTGAACGGTCTACCGTGTCTTCTTTATCATCGTAAATAGTAGTCCAAACCATGTTTAATTTTCGCGAGTGCAGCAAACGTTTGAGGGAAAATTTGGGAAATAGCCGCGCTATATCATTGCATAACACTGTGCCGAAAGTCAAGCAGCGGCTCCCACTCCCCGGGCGCGCCCCTCCCAACATTTTTTAACTTTAAAATAGCCGCAGATATTCGAATATTCGCCACGACGAACGTAATCAATTTATTTTTACTTGGGGTTGAAACCTTATTGTGCTTTTTATGGAATCAATCAGTGTGATGCCGTCTCCTTTATTAGACGTTTTATTTTGTTATGCTTGTGTTAAATATATCCAAGTTATTCTAAGACAGTAAGTAAATTTGCGTAGCGGTGAAACATATTATTAGAAGTGTTCCTGTGTGATCAAAAATATCGCTTTTTTCGAATTTAATATTAAAATTCAGAGTTACTTAACGTTTTAAAACATTTTTCAAGTTTTAATGTAATAAATAGCATAATAAAAAAATAGGATTTATTTTTATACAGGGTGATTCAAATTTTGGAGGGGAAAAAAGTTAAAATTTTAGAAAAGAAGCAGGTTTTGTCTAAAACATTTTTTCATATTTGTAATGAAAAAAAATCAATTTTGTTCGATTTTTCTTCTAGGATTCTGCAATAACTTTTCTATAAAAATATCACTTTTTTGGTAATAATTATCTTATTAAATTAAATCTGATTTTTTAAGTACCCACGATTTTTTAACTAATATTTAAGTTTCCTTTGGTTCAAGTTTTACACATTATTTCATTCGGTGATAATTATCAATTGCACACCATGGTCACTTTTTACCTGCCAGCTTTAAATCCTTTAATTTAAAGGATTATTGTACTATTTTTAATAAAAATACCTCATTATTTTGTCAACTAATTGGGGTATAAAAAATGGTATTTAGGAAACTATTTATACATAGTTTAGCATTATTTAATCAATTTAGTTGAAAAATTAATTTGCAAACAAAAAGACCTCCTTTCGTTAAGCAGTTATTCATAATGAATTTTTTAACAGTGGAAGAAAAAATAGAAATAATTTTGATTTATGGAGAAGCAGGCAGGAATCTTGATGATGCTGTTAATATCTACGCTCAGCGTTTTCCGGAAAAAAATCGATCACGTACTTCATTTTACCGTACAGTCAAGCAGTTTACTACAAACGGGAGTGTTCAACCGAAAAAAAGAGTTCGTCGAGGAAATACTTAATATTGTTATTTTAAGCACCAAGCATTTTATTCAAAAATTATTGGAGAAACCTATACAGAAGAAAAATAGAACAAAATTGATTTTTTTCCTTACAGCGGCATCTATTTTTTTTTTTTCATAAAATGCATACTAACTGAAATATTTCAAAGTTTCAAGTTAAATGACTCACCCTGTATACAGTCCCTGGCCAATTTATTAGTCTCGCCCTCAAATTTTCTTTATTTTAGAGAATTTTTTAAATTGTTGATATCTTTAAACAAAAATGCATTTGACGTTTTTTTCTATAAAGTAGGGTTTTAAAATTGAAAAAATGAACCGACGAAAAAAAACGGTTTTTTTTGTTGAAAAATTGGGTAATGTTCAGAAAAATTGACTTTTGAACTTTTTTCATTTTATTTAAAGGGTACTGCGAACAAAATGCAAAAGTCAATTATTCTGAAAATTTACAAATGTTTCGGATAATATCCGTACACTGATATCAAGAAAAAAGTGAATTTTCGACGCTGATTATAATCATAATATTATGACCGGGCCGCAAAAATAGTTATTTATGTCATTAGGTTAAGAAGTAAGGCTTTTTGTGCTAAGCTCAAGGTTTGAAGGCCGACGCGTAGCGGAGGCCTAGAATTGAACGAAGCACAAAAAGGCCTTTCTTGGCCGAATGGCATACAACATTTCATCTTCAAAGCACTTTATATAGGTCAATTTAATTCAACATCAAAGCGGCCTAACCTCACTTTTTTAGAATCTCATTTATTTATTAGCTAAAGATTACATTAAATGTTCAATAATTATTATTGCTTTTAGAAGCAGTAATAGTTTGACAATACCTAGCTACATGATTTAAGTAGAAATGGATTTTTGCTATTACCTACATTGAATTCAATTAATTGTTTAATAAATAGGTAGGTAGGTATCTAATTTCAATTTGTTTGGATTTTTATTTAAAAAATAGGTAGTTTGGAATGTTTAAGATATGTTTAACATTTAATTTCACTGAAAATTAAAACTTAAAGATAATTTAAATCGTAGAAAAAGAATCGTGCGTTTTCTTGGTTGCCTAACCTCACTTTTTGTTTTATTATTTATATTTAATTTTACAATAATTTAATGAAAAATATTAAACATTAACAAATTAGTGCTTATTATAAAAAAATTAAACCAGTTTAGTACGTTAATTTCTTAGAAAAAGATTAATTTGTCAAAGCAAGAAAAAATCGAACTAATTACTTCCCTCATAAAATTTTTTATCGGCCTAGGCCATAACAAGGTAGGTATTTCTTTATCGAATGTTGACAACAATAAAGTTTAAATTATAGACCGCGTGGAGATAAAATATATTTGGTGCTGTATTAACTAACAATCCTTCATTTTATTTGACACTTTGATTTATAAAATTATAATTTTGTAAGTTAACTTTATAAATCATTCATTATTTTGTAATTGGATACTTTAAATGGACTAATTTTTTATTGCCATTACGCAACTTCCTCTAATTCAACTGTTGTAGCTCTTCAAATATAAAAGATACCCATTCCCTTAAAGGCATCAAAAACCTTTGTATTATATAAATTAGATATTCTGGTTCAAAATTAAACATCCTTTATTTAAAAAACAATGCTAGGTGAGATACACATTTGTGGAATTCTCCATAAAATGATACATTATCTCCTTAAGTATTTCTGAGCAAAAATAAATTCAGTTAGTTAGGGGCCAGAGAGGCTACTTTTGATTTTTTTACTATAATTAACTGTAATAATTATTGGTAAACCAATCTGTATAAATTTTGGTTTGTAGATTGGTTTTGAAGAACACAAGAATTGGTTTAATGTTAACCAAGGGAATGAAGTCACGGGTATTCAGCAAGTATTTTTATAAACTGCTATCCATTGACCTTGATCTAGCTGATAAAAAATAATCTGTTAACTTATTTTATATTTTCATATTTTATCAAAAGGTACACGGAGAAAAAAGTTTATTGCTCCCAAATAAAAAAAATATTTAAATATGGGACAAGGGTACAGTTTATTTATCCTAAATATATTTTTATTCCTGACATATAAAGTTTTACTAAAGTATATTTATCGTTATTATTTCGAATATTTAGAGGTAATAAACAATATATTCACTACAAATAAAAGTATTAGGTAAACAGTTTATTTGTCCCATTTTTTTCTCAGTGTAATATTATATTTATTTATACTTATATCTACCCAAGTTCTGTCTAGAGTCTAGACTCAAGAATGATGTAAAATCACTGTTTTTTCAGTACCATCTTTGACTTATTATTATTATTATTTAGTTTGGTTCCCTTTAGAACATTCTTTAGTGTTTTAGTGGTCATACCTTTTTAATTAAAGTAAGCTGTGAATTATTTCCTTTTACTATACAGTTTGTTTGAAGGCTTAGGACCCTTGAGGCACCCCGAAGATGGAATGCCATATCCTAGATCAAAAATATTGCTAGATTTTTTTATGAAACTCCCCAAGGTTTACCCATTGCAACTATAAAAAAGCCATTTTTGTATGGATTTACCTGTATTCCCTATTTTTATACCATAAAACAGATGGACGTTAAGAGATGATGCAAATAAAGCATTTTTCTTTTCCAAAGCCACCTTAATTGATGTTTAAAAACTTTTCCAAATCGATAAAAGCAATGACAAGAAGTAATGATACAATTACAATAACAAAACACATACCTTTTTGTTTACACGTAAAACTGTTTTGATAAAATAGAAATGGTACTTATTTATGAAACAACGTTTTCACTAGAGTTGCGACTGAACCGCCCGGTATTTAGTGCAGGACGTTGTAGAATTTGCAGAGGACAAAAAGGTCAAATGTCCTACCTCATGGATATCCGCGTGCGCAATTCCTATGATAATAGTACGTTCAGATAAGAGTACCGACATTTTTGTAAAATTTATCTGGACATCACAAGCATTTCGCTATCTTTATTTTTTATTTAAATATTGCTTTATGACATACATTTTATGTTACGTTATTTTTAAGTAGTTTCTATTTGATTAATTTAAAAAGTAGCTACAGATTTTAAAACGGTAGGATTAAGTGTGAACCTAGCTTAAAAATCAGCTGATAATTGCAATGTTGCCAAATCAAATAAAATACCGACTAATAATAGATTATTATTTTCATATATGATATTATCGTTGAGTGAATTAATGATATTATTGTATGTAAATATATTTTGTTTTTTGTCCCTTTAGATAATGGCTAAACGCATGCCTAAACGGTTTAGGAAGTGTTTGAATAACGCACGTTTTTAATTGGCAACACCGCAGATGCTGAACACGAGGGTATTCGAAAATCCTTAAAATTTTTCATATACAGGGGCTTTTTGTTTCAAAGCCTAAAAAGTACGAGAACGTGCTATAAAAAATACATACTCTTTTTCTATGTCATACAGGGTTTCCTGAAAAATTCGGCAAAATAGCATGCATCCAAAAAAGGTTGTCATGGAAACAAAATAAACAATTGTTAAGGCATCTTTGGCTTTTTTAACTTCAAATTTTGAACTTAAGTTTGTGTTTTAGGCTTTACATTTTATATACATAAAAAATAGCGTGTTATGTAATTACAGTGTGCCATTTTTGGATGCCATGGATAGAGTTTGTGACACGAAATACTTTTTTTAAGTATTTGAATGTAGGTATCAGGTGTATGTATCTTGCTAAGTATGTAAAAATATTTTTTTAGTAATACAAAATTAATAAAGCTAGTTACCAATGCGCAAAATTAAATATAAAATACCTCACCCTAGAAGGTCTTCTTTCCATTGCTTTCATTGTACTTAAGTAATAATATTAATTAATAATATTTTAATACTGGGGCCTTTACGAAGTTTTTAAATAGAATGTTAATACATGGTGCGTAAAACCTAGATAAAGACCTTATCATAAGGTAGATCTTTTGTACATTTTAATTAATCTTAATATTTATCTTCTATATTGTGTAAGATAAAAAATACATGTTAACAATACCTATTTATTCAGTTAATTAAAATGGATAGAACAGTATACGAGTATACAGCATGTCCTAGTAAACTTTAGGTAAGTTCTTAAACAGTTTAAACAAATTATTATATCATATATAAGTATAAAAAACTAAACACTTTTATTGTGTATGATCTTTTATAATTAAATAGATATTACAGCTTAGGTTTTAGATTTTTAACCGCAATTAATTATTTTTACAATGTTTTAAAAGTCTAAAACCTATCCTCCGTGACTGTTACTCTTTCTAGGTTAACCTATATGTCTTCAAATATCTGAGGTAGTAAAAGCTTACTAAAAATATCAGTTGAGTGTAAATTAAACACATCCAAAGCAATCGAATCAAATATAAAATATTATTAAAAATTAAAAGAAATAATTTTTATAACCATTTATGTAGGTGTTACAAAAATTGTATCTATCCTCCGTGAATCTGTTTTTTCTTTAAATTTTATGCAACGGATGGCGCTTTAATTATTTTAAATAAGCAAAAACCGATGACACGATGATGATAATGATCACTATCAAATCGTTCCAATTTTAAGGAACCTACAAGCAGTGGCGTGCCCAGAAGTTTTTTTGGGGGGGAGGAGCCTATTGAAGGGGAGGGGGGTTAAAAAATCTAAGATTATAATCTATTATTATAATAATTAAAAAAAATATTTCTTTACTTTTTCTTTGAAAACTCTAAGCCTGGGGGGGGGTGAACCCCCGACCCCTATGGGTGTTTCTATGCAGTTCTAAAAATGTCCTACCTTGTTTCCTCTTTCCACGGCCTTCATTATTTTTTTTTAATTAATTACACAAACCTAACTGAACTAAGTGGACAACACAACTAATGTATTGAAACAAGTTATTCAGTAAAAACAATCATAAAAAGGTTAAAAGGGGATATAGAGGACGTTTTTTTGACCTGTATCAGCTTATCAAGAAGTCGATAAAAATTACTAATATTTTTATACCTATCTAAATAATAAAACATAGCAATAAACATTTTTCTAAATAATAAGTTTGAGTGTTAGATGTATATTAAAATGGCATTTGAAAATTGGAAAAAAAATCTGCGGTTCTCAAATAATTTGGAAAAAACTGAAAACCTGTAAAAACCAAAAATCTTCATACCTAGGTATTTAGTTTTTTCTGGAAATTTTGTAAATTTTTTATAAATATTTATCTACATTTTCATTTAATTTGTGACTTTTTTTGCCTACTAGATTTTGAATTACCACCACCATCTTGTTTTTCCTATGCCTTATGGTCGATAGTCTTCTTGTTTTAGCTATAAAAATAATAGAACCGCGCCTTGACAACTATTTTTTTGTTTAAAAAAATGTTAATAAATACCTATAAAAATTTTAATGTTTTTTATTTTGCTGCCCTTTCAGCTGTTAATATATATTTTTTTAATGGGTAGGATAAAAAAAATAAAACAGCAAATATTTTATTAGTATAAAAACAACATATTACAAAATAAGTATTAAAAAAGCTTATACCTATGCATGCATATCACAAAAGAAATAAGATTTGAGATCACATTATTAATTAATAAAAAATATCACAGACTTTTTTGTCAATCTTTTGCCTTATACAATTTTCTTTGGGAAACATTTTAAAATATAAATGACCACTATTCGCTTTTTTACATTTCTCAAAAATTTCCACCATCAAAAAATCGTCCGGAGTCTCCGGATTTTCCTGATTCTCAAAATACTGAACTTTAGAAATGGGACACAAACAGTTCGTGATTCTTACAGTGGGATCGAAAATTTCACCGTCGATCTCAGTCCAAAAATGCACCGGCCACTTTAATCTACCGTTGTCCAGTTTACCGCACTTCAAAGTAGGCTGGAAATTCAATTTTTTCGCCTGCTCCGACACGATCAGGGCTACCAACAGACACACACCAAATTCATGGAGTTCGACGAATTCTTCAGCGATCATATCGCAGATTAGATTTAGGAGGTTTTTTTCAGTTTCCGAAAGTGTCATCACTGAAGCAGACGTGTTACTATTTGAAAGTTTCAAATTGAAACCGTGTCTCGATCGAGGTGAAAATTCATCTTTTAGAGGTTTCTAGAAATTTTATTTATTAGATATACCTAAGCCCACTTAAAGTTGACGCAAATCATTTATGGGAGTTGGATACAAGCCAAAGGCGATTTGATATTTTGTAAACATGCAACATGCAAAATGCAAAATAGAACATAATAGGTATGTACAGTTCATTTTTTATCTGGACTCGTATTTTTTTGTTAGGTTGGTGGCTCATGTAAGTTTGACTTGGTATTTTTAGTATTTAGAAATGGACTCCTGCTAAAGAATTTAATTAAATACTTTGACACTATCAAATTGACAATAATATTTATTATTGATAATTTACTTGTCAATTTTAAATAAAAAGATAATTAGGTATGCCAAAAATAATAGCAACGAATTCGAATGTAAAAGCCCTTTTGAGGGCAAAACTTTTGATGAAATAATGCCAAATGCCACAATGGAAGAAAAAGTAGATAAAAAAGTAACGATTTTCGACAACATTTACGTTCACAAAAAATTTTAATTTCTTTTACATTTAACTACTTTTGTATATGATTTTACTCATCCAAGCACCACCAAAGTCAAATTAATTGCATTTTTAACTACGAATTTCGACAACTCAACTTGACAACTGCACAATGTAACCTACAATAATCAGGGTTGGGTCCGTAGAAAACCTTAGGTAATTTACCTTGGTAGAAAAGGGTAGAAAACTTGTTTTCGACTTGCGTCGAAAACCTATAGGGTTTTCTACCTACGTAAATTACCTTATTCGACCTTCTCCTTCCACTTCTCTATAATTGATAAAAATTTGCCCTCATGCCAAAAATTATGTTGGGGTCTCCCAACCAAACGTGGCCCTTTTTTCTCACCATAATAATGTTAAAAAACTCCAAATAACTTCAAATTTATGGTAGGTGTCTGATTTTTCACAACATTTAACAAATCATAATAAACAACAAACTTGCATAACCTCACATTTTTTGATATTTGACAGTATTCTACTTTTTTACGTTTTCTACCGTCGAAAACGTCGAAAAAGGTTTTCTACATGTCGAAAACAAAAATGTAGGTAGATACCCAACCCTGTGTCAATAATTTATACATAACCACAATTAGATTTATAACTAGCTTAGTTTGTTTTAATCAATGCGACCAACTTGACAACTGTATTTACCACCCAAAACCCTAAATTTGCAACGTTGCCGCAGTCCAGATTAAAAAAATGAACTTTATGCATATAGGTATATGACTTTATGTACCTACTTAAAACAATATATTATAATATAACAGGATGCGTTACCAAAATTGGCTTTTTTGGCATTTTCTAATAAATTATTTATTATATTATTTTGGACTCCCTGTATATTCTTTTGTATGGACATCGCTAATCATCTGATCGCTATTGCAATGTTGCCAGATTTCCAGTATGGATTCTGAACGAAATTGAACGACAGGTTATGTATTTTGATCACGCAGTAACCATAATCTATGGCAGTAACCTCAAAAAAGGCTAATAATGTTACGAAAATCCTTCAAATTACTTCTAAATGAAAAACTGCCGCTTTATACAAAATTCAAAGGTACTTATCGTTGCTTAAATTGTATCTCTTTTCTTATACTACATAATTTTAGGACATTTAAGCACAACTTCTTTGGTTAATGAAAAGTGGGACCTTTTAACTGCTGTATGCTTAGAAAGAAAGCCTGTTATAACGCAGGAGTTAAATGAAATTCAAAAAGAGTATGAGGAATTATTAGCCGAAGTAGAATTTGAAAGGAGTCTGAAAAGTGATCACGAACTACAGCACGAATTGGAATTGTAGGTTAGTTCTCTTGAGTTTATTCAAAATAAACATGTTTATTTCAGAAAACAAATTGAGGCGTTGAAAAAAGGTGATAGTGATGATTTAGATGTAAATTTAAAGCAAACTGCTCAGGATTTTGTTGATTTGTGTGTTGAAGAACTTACACAATTTAAAAAAGGAAGCAAAATAACACAGGATGATAAAAAAAATAATGATAAATCTTTGAATAGAAAGTTGGATAAGCATTTAGTTTTATTAGTTAACCAAAAATTGGGCGATCAAAAACATTATTTACTTCCTCAAGGCAAACGAGAGGAAGGAGAGACTTTACGACAGGTAAAAAGTAATTATTACTATACAAAGGGATTGTTGATAGAGAATTTTACATTTTTAGGCTGCCGATAGAGTATTGAAACAATGTTGTGGCCCCAACGTCAAAACACAGATTTATGGAAATGCCCCATCTGGGTTTTATAAATATAAATATCCCAAACAAATACGAAATGAAAAAGCTGTTGGTGCAAAGGTAAGTTCTAGAGGACTTTTTACTAAAAATTGTAAAATATGGACTTTGTATTGTCTAATAAAAAATGTGTAAAACTTATTTTAGGTGTTCATATATTTTGCCAGACATTTAGAAGGGCAATTACCCGACAAAGGAGTTGACTATAAATGGCTTGATAGGCAAGAGATGGATAAAATTTTACCTGCAGAATACAAAAAAAGTGTTGGTCAGTTGTTAATAGATGAATGAATATAGTTATGTATAGTAAAGATATGTTTGTGATTTTATTTTCTCCACAATAAAAACTACCCCTTATATTTTGTAAAACTGTCAAATCGACCGGTTTAAACTGGACTACACTACTAAAAACGTTTCTATGCATTTTTTTAAAAAAAATTTACCCACGCGAAATTTTGGTATTCAAGTTATTTTTAAAATTTTCAGTTTCAAAAAAAAAAATATGAATTCCCTTTTTTTGTCAAGAAAAACTTTGATTAATTTTGGGTTTAATTCCCCAAATGTTTCTTTTTTTCTCTTTATTTAGATTTATTTTATTTTAAAAACAAAGATTGGAGAAAAAATGATTTTTTTTCGTTTCACCCTGTACAATCTAAAAAGTAAGAGTTACTTTAGTATAATAACTATTGTAATTTGCTTTCAAGCCCTTTCAAATAATATGTCACATGACCCACTTGGTATTTTAAAAAACTTGGTCTCTTGGCAGTACGACACTATTTTTTTTTTAATCCATATACAGTTCATTTTTTTTTATCTGGACTCGTGTTTTTTTGTTAGGTTGGTGGCTTATGCCATTTTGAATTAGTATTTTTAGTATTTAAAAATGGTACTTCTGCTAAAGAATTTAATTAAATACTTTGACACTGTCAAATTGACAATAATATTTATTATTGACTATTTCCCTCGTCTTAATTTCCACCAATCACAAACGCGCAATTTTAAATTACAAATGGTTTCTAGGTGAAAAAACTGTGTGACAGCACCTGTCAGCAGTTTATTCGAGTTTACCCGCGGCAAAACTTGACAGCTGTTGTCACCAAAAATTGCAATTTATATTTTAATTGTTAACTGTTAACTCATGAAATAGTCTTGTCAAATACCATTCGGGCATCTAATTTTTCCTGTGAAAAAAAATCGAAAAAACACAATGCTAAGTAATATTTTTTTAACAAAAAGCATTCGTGCAGGTGCAAAAATCTTCCTCTTCGACTCGGATTTTTGTTGCCACCAGCACTCATGCTTTTTGTTAAAATATCACTTAGCAACGTGTTTTTTCGATTCTTTTCGGAAAAATTAAATGCCCTTATGATATTACTTACGATAATTTACCCAGACTGCAATGAAGGTTCGAAAATATTCCAGGAATATTCCCTATCGCCTAGGAATAATCCGCTTCATTCTAGGAATATTCATTGGGAATATTTCTAGAATGATCCTCTAAAACTTCCAAGCATCATCTAAGAATATTCCCAGTGAATATTCATTAGTTTAGTTGCAATACCTCTCACCGTTGCTTACGCACGCTTGATAACTATATATACCGATAGGTTAATAATATTAGTTGGAGATGTGCGTCTGTGATGGCACAGCCAAACAATGATTAGAGTGGGACTGATCTACTCAGTAACTCAATAATGGCTATACTTAAGTTAAGTTCCTGGGTATAAGAGGCAATAAGGGCTGGGAATAATCCCCAAATTATATCAAGGAATATTCCCCTAACAATCCTTGAGTCTTTTGCAGGCAGATATATGGAATATTCTTTTTATGATGCCTGGGTTAACCAAAAAGCGGACATTTGATTATACCAGGAATATTCCTGGGAATATTCTGGGACGATTGGAATATTCCTGGGAATATTCCTGACATGTGCAAGGAATGTGATTTTGCGGTCTGGGTACTTGTCAATTATAAATAAAAAGATAATTATACCAAAAATAATAGCAACGAATTCGAATGTAAAAGCCCTTTTGAGGGCAAAACTTCATTTTGATCAAATTATGACAAATGCCACAATGGAAGAAAAAGTACATCGCCTTATGGACATTTTTGGAGTAAAAAAGTAACGAATTTGGTTTTATAAATATTACATATGTATGTGTGATATCACACATTATTTTCACATTATTCACCATTGGACAACATTTACGTTCACAAAAAAATTTAATTTCTTTCAAAGTGAAGATTATTATCCGCTGGGAACACTTTCTCTTCTGGTCCGTAAAGCAACCTATATTTAATTACTTTTATATATGATTTTACTCATCCAAGCACCACCAAAGCCAAATTAATTGCATTTTTAACTACGAATTTCGACAACTCAACTTGACAACTGCACAATGTAACCTACAATAATTTATACATAACCACAATTAGATTTATAACTAGCTTAGTTTGTTTTAATCAATGCGACCAACTTGACAACTGTATTTACCAACCAAAACCCTAAATTTGCAACGTTGCCGCAGTCCAGATAAAAAAAATAACTTTATGCTAAAAAGTGTTTCCTTGGGTTAGGTTTAAAATACTAGAATCACATCCTGTCACTAGAATTGCAAATTTCTAAAAAAAACATTGAAAATTGAAAATCCTTATCATGATTTTTTCGGTTAATTTTTTTTTTAATTAATTTTTTCAGACAATTACAAATAACATTTTTTTCCATTTTCTTTCAAATTCCTTGCAAATCTGCACAAACGAAGATTCAATAACTTCCGTCTGAATTTAGGCAACGCAGATTATACGTCGATGTAAATAGGTTGCATGATGTGTTTTTACGTATTTTGCAATTACAGAAACGGTGCATTTTCGCATTTATAATATAACAGTTATAAGAATTATAATATATATAATGTATATTATAAAAGATTTGCATAGATTTATTAATGTTCAATGGTTTGATAGACTAAATAAAGCGTCATTAATTCCAGCCAATTTAAAATGACCTACTAGGGGTAACTAACAAAAGTGTAGATTTTGTTTGCGCCTAATTCAAAGTTATTCATGTGGCCTGTACAAATCAGTAGTGTTACAAAGTAGGGGTGAAATAAGGACTGATCCTTGACAATTAACAGCTAATTTCACTTTAATTGGTCGACAGTTGTTTGAATTAAGTACTTATATATAAATAGTAAAGGGAAACAAACTTTTAATCTCTACCAGGAAATTCTTTAAAATGTTGTAACTACCTAAAAAAAATTATGTATGTAAATTTTAATGTAGGGTTTCCAATAACAAAATTCTAAGCACAATTTCGCGCGCGCGTTATTTCAAGATTATGCAAATTATTATAATAAATAAATAGTAGGTAAATCAGAGGCAAAAATATGGCACGCCATTTTACTTTATAATCGTAAATGTTTTAAAAGTTAAAGAAAATTGAAGTAGGTTTTTTAAAATTATGGAATATATAATTTTTTATTATTTTAATTAAAATTAAAATTAAAATAGCGAATTATTATTATGTCTAGGCATAATAATAATAAATTTTTATGATTCATATTAATTTAATACGCATTTTTTTGTAACATTTAAATATATAACCCGACGAATATTTTTAAACATTTTTTTGTTAGTTGAATTATTATTTGCGTTATTTAAATTTGGTCCATTTTTATTTCGTATGACGCTCTTTATTTTTTTTTTACTTCGAAATTATTGGAATTTTATTTTTTAAGTTTCAATTTCTTATTAAAAAATAATACAATTAATTTTATGTGTAGGTAGGTACACAAAAAATTAATGAAATGAATTTTTATGTTACAATTAAAATTATGACTTTCCAGAGTAAAGAGTACGAGTACTTTTGAAAGAGCAACTCAAGACTCAAATTTAAATTGTTAAAACCACAAAAATGTTAAGCTTAAGTTTGAAAGTGAGCTAAAGCCACCCGCGTTTACGGTACCTAAAATAATAAATAAAAATAACAATTCTTAAATATTTTAAAATTTTACATATATACTTATTATAAAACCAATAGGCTATAATATATTATATTATAGGTACTATATATTATATAATTTAAAACAGACTTCCAAACAAAATGTTTTAATGCTTACGATATTTTGGCAAAAGTCATAAACGGAAATACTCGTATATATTACTCGTGAATTTCACGAGTAGTTTTTACGAGTATATTGAATTTGGTTTGTAAGTACGAGTAATAAGTATTTCAAATGAAAAATACTTATGAGTAAAAAAGTACTTGTACTTTTTAACTCGTACTTGGCCAGCTCCGGTTAGGTATTTATGCTTAATTTATCTACGCCTACGTTTAATTGTATAAGAAATATTAAGTTAAATAATAATGTGTCAAAAAATATTGCACACAGAAAAATTACATTAAATAAATAATTCAACATCTTATACGAGGTGTGTTCAGAAAATAACGGGAATTGTTAAATTTCGCGGGTTCGGAGGGTCCGGTTGTCATAAAATTTTCTTTATTATGTTGGTATACATGCCCCCAGTGGCGTAGCGTGGACTAATATAGACGTGGGCGAAGTCGCATCAGCGAGGCCCCTTTTCTTTCAGCAAATAAAATTTCTTTAAGATTTTAAGAATATGGATTAAGGGGTTTTTGGGGATGCTGAATCTATATAGGATTAAAAAATTTATCTAAAATAAGCCCTTATATCCTTTTGCCGAAAAATCGACCCCCTAAAACCGTACGCCAATGATAAATAAAAAAACTTACTATGGCAAATATTTCATTTCTTCAGCATACAATCACCACCCAAATTTAAAGAAAATCGAATTATTAATAACAGATTGGATTTATGATAAGCAGGACAAATTATTAAACCAAACAAATGTGGCCCTTTTATTCGGCAAATGATGCACACACTATTCGATTAACTGTTTAATTTTACATAACTAAACTTAAATAATAATTAAGGAACAATCATAAATGTTCTAAATTACATACAGCAAATTAAATGACAGTTATTTAAATCGCGAAAGGTGATATCTACATTATCTACAAGTTGTAGGCCACAACTTGGTATTTGTTTAGAGTTCTAATAGGTGGCGTATTTAAGTGAAATCCATTGTAATCACTATTTCTGTGATTGTAATCGATTAAAATTGATTAATAATAATTATTAGTATATAAGGATCTTAAATTTACATATTTTTTAGGTTTTTATTTAATTTAAAAATAAACGGGGATTTGAAGTCTGATGGCATCGCATTTAAAGAGGCCTCGCGAGGCCCCTTTAAGTGCGAGGCCGTGGGCGAGGGCCCACTTCGCCTACGCCTAGCTACGCCACTGCATGCCCCCGAAGTATGATAAAAACTTTAGCTGTTTTCATTGTT